TTATTTTAACTTATATTAAAACTCTAATTACTAAAGTAACTCTAAGAAAGGTACGTAAAGTTCCAACCCAAATTATATAATTATATTCGGCTATTATTAGCAAAAGTAATAATAAAGGAAAAGTATATTCGACTTTTACTAGTACCTTCGCTAATTATAACTAAAATTGCACTAATCTTATTATTAAAATTAATAAAGAATTATATAATAAAATCAAGAAAATTATTAAAGCGTACATAGAGAATAAAGAAGAATATAAATATTAATTTACTAATTTTTACTCTTTCTCGTAGAATAAGTTTATTTATAATACTAAAACTACTCTTAATTTAGCCTTTAATAAAAGAAGCTAAAGAAATATTAATTTTATTAACCATATCCCTTCGAAAATAATTTTACTAATTATTTAATATTCTAATTATAGTATTAGCCTCCCTAAGTAAATTAGCGGTTTATTAGGAAGACTAGGCTATTTCCATTATACCTAAGTAGCGCCGGCCAAATTGGTTTTAAATAAATTTCTAATAATTGAAAAGATAATTAATTATATTATTAAAATTAGTAGGGAACCTATTATACTTATCAACTTTATCTTTCGTAAAGAAATTAAGAATATATTAAAACGTACTTCTAATATACAATTTATAGTATTAAAGGTATTAAATAAATATTAGAATTAAATTGTATAGAAAATATAAATAAAATTAACAATTCTCCGTATTAAATTTAAAGAAATGTAAAAGCTTTATATCAAATATTTCCCTCCAATTTCGTTTATTAATAGGAATTATATATTCAATACAATCCTTAGTATTACTACTCCTTACAATATTTATTCTAATAATCTTTTACTACTGTATATACTTAGCTTAATTAATTTTTTTAATAAATTCTACTCTATAACGGCCTATTTGAATTCTTACTTTAATTCTTTACTTACTACCTACTCCCCTCGCTACAATTACCTCGCTAATACTTAGGAGTAGGAGGATTCTCTATTAGGATGCAAATATTCTCGTTAAAATATATATTATATAAATAAAAATAAGGAGATAGATAATAAGGAGTTTAACGAACGTTTAACGCATTATAATTATAATTATTAAAGGATTATTACAGGGTTATCGAATTGGGTACTTTATTCGGAGGGTTGTATATTTTATATATTTGGCAATTAATTTAAATATAAATTACTAAATAAAGGTTTTAATGAATAATAGGATCTTTTATATATATAATTAAATTTAATAATATTATATAAATAGCGAGTATTCTTCTCCTTTTATCAAAGGGGAAATATTATAGGGTATTCTTAATAAATACCTAAATATTCTATTTTATTATAATAGTTATTTACTAGAGCGTATAATTTATTATATAAGAGTACTCGTTCCATCAACTTCTATTAAGGTTGATAGATTATTAATTAATATTATACTAACTTAACGTCCATTTTACTTATATTTAGTAAAGCCGTATACGAGGTCCTAGGTTAAAGTTTGCAACAACTCTTATCTTCAACTTCCTTTAATAAGACTATTGTTAATTGTTACGTATTATTACTCTATCCAATAACTAATTGCTTATTCTATTATTCTCTATTATTATTACTTGTGAAGTATATTAACGCGTAATAGAAGTACTTAATCTTCTTTTTAAACTCCTCCTACCTTCTTTAAATTTCTTTAGTAATATTTTTAAATATATAACTATCCTGATTTTTTTTAAAGATCCCTATTACGGTCGTAAACTACTTTAAACCCTTATTTACTATTATAACTATAGTAACCGTTAGTATACCCTCAAGGATAGTTTTATTATAGTTTATCCTCTTCTTTTTTTTTAAATTAATACTAAAAGAGGCTGATAATCTCTTTTAAATACTATAGGTATAGCGGAAAACCGGTAAAGAATCTTTATTATCGTTATTATTATTATTATCCTTATTTTTAACTTGCGTAATAACCTCTTCGTTATTACTATTATCTTTAAATAAAGTAGGGTCGATTAGTAGTTTAAATAAGGTGACTATATTTAGACTAATAGTACTATATATACCTTCGAAAACGCACTCCATAAGTTCGAGGTAGGAAAGGACAGCGTACTTGAATTATAAAGTCTTAGGGTATTTCTATAAAATATTATTCTATTAATAAATCCTTATCTAAATTAATATTTTTAATAAAATTAATGGCGATTAGATTATTCTAAACGTCTAGTAGTATTATAATTACGCCCGTATTATTATTACAACCAAACCCTAATTACGAATAGATAAAGTCCTAAAGCCGCTACTTTATTTTAAAGGTCCTATACTTATTGCGAACCTATATAATAGTAAAAGTAATACCCTTCGTAATAAGCCGATATACAATTAATTAATACGTACCTTCCTTAAAGCTATTCTATAATGTACTACCGCTAAATATAGTTTTAATAAGAACTTTAAAAGCGATTTCTTCTTAAGCTAGGGTCTATTGAATTTTTAAGACGCTAATTTTACTCTTACCCTTCTTACTAGAGGTAGAGGGAGCAAGGGGAGTAGAGGATTAAATAAACGAAGGCCTAATTTAGTTAGTACTAGCGATATTCGATTGTGTAAAGGATTGGGAGGTATTAAAAGAGGAGGTATATAAAATCGAGTTTTAAAAAATTATAGCAGGCGGCTAGGAGATTGGTACTAGCGGTTATAGAAAAAGATAGATAAAATTAGGCATATAAATCAATATTTATTAATTGTTTTATATAATTTAGTAATATCAGAAACTATTAGTCTTTTATTATAACCGATAGATAATTTATATTTATAGTCAGACTAGTATTTGAAGGGGGTTATAGCTATACAAATTAATACATTAACCGGCCTTCTAGACTATAAAGGTATTTGCAACTATCTAAGCTATTAATTAGTAGATTTATTACTATACACTTACAAATTTTATAAAAGTATATGGAATATGATTTTCACCCATATTTTTACTAGAATACCAAACTACTTAAATGCCAAGGCTATAACCTGGTAAAAATTGGTCTGTACGACCTTTTTACCCAAAGTATCTAAAATCCCGGTGAAAAGACCCAAAAAAGGCGAATGGAACACGCCCTTAGGTATACGAATCGGCTGGCCATTGTTTTGTTTCAAAAGGCGCGACGATGTGCTGCAGGTCTGGCGCCAGAGATAATGGCCAAGAAGAGCCTATGAGGTCATTCAGACACATGGCCTTCTTCAAGATGTAGCTGCACACAATTACATGTAGGTGTAGTGTACGGGCTATGTGCTTCTGTATGTCGGTCACACCCACACACATAGGTATGCATAGGATATAAGGCACTCACTCAGCCTTCCAGAATTCGTAATCAATATTTAATATGGGACACGAGCGCGAAAAAAGGGGCACTGACACTGCCCTGCCCTCACAGGCATAAGCCCAGCAAGCAGACAACCTATAACTGGCAGGTCGTGGGATTGGCCTCGTTCGTCGGAAAGAATACCTACTCTGGTACCTGACCGAGCTGACTGACCTCCCGGCCCCCGGGTCCTGGTGGAAGTCTAGAGGTAAGTATCGATCGGGCCCAGACCAAAGGACACTGTGCCTTCCGAACGCACTGCCCTGGATTTCGGCGGATGTAGTGTAGTAAGGGTACCGGAAATCGACTGCATGGGACCAGGGGCAAGCTGCCCGGTGAGATGCATTCTGGGTTTCCGGTCGCTTAGTTCGTCATGGAGGCCCCACTGCATCCCACCAAGGTACCGGCCGGTGGAGGGGCCGGCGCTGGGTTTCAGCTTCCTTCCCGTCTCAGTTCCATGTTCGGGCCACTGGCTCTGGGCTGTGTTTGGCGCGCGCGCGCAAGTGGAAGCCCGGAGTTCGTCTCCTCACATCTTTCCGCTCCTACCTAACCTGCCTATGACTTTCTTTGTTTTCCTTTTTGATCATTCCTTTTGGTTTCTTTTGGTGTTGGACTTGCGCTTTGAAGCGTCATGGACTGACCCGACCATCTCGAAGCTTATCTTTCGGATCCAAACATCCCCCCTCCTCCGGGCGTGCTCAGGCCCCCCGCCACCCTACACTAAAAATATACCCCACGATCCTGACTCCAGCCAGAAGGCTTGGCAACGAAAAAGTCCAGCCTCCAGCCTTTCCATATTATCAGGATTCAGGACACCCGGACCCGAGTCCTTGGACATTCTTCAGCCTATCTGGCCTGACCTCCGACTTTCCGACTCGACCTTGCACAAACACACCAAATAAACTACGTATACACCACGTCGGCCGGGCACGCGACCCGGGACACTCGGGGTCTTCAGTACTGCTCGTTGTTGGACTTTACCTGATCTCCTCTACTATACGAGGCTCATCTCGCTCGCAAACAGCAACCGTTTCAACTTGCTCGTTAACGACACCGACTCCACCGGCCCTCTCAAAACTCCGTCAATCACTGCGTCTCCGTCAGACGATCCGGGTCGCCTTATTCCCCGTCTCTAAGCCCCGTTCTTAAGCCCGAGCTTACAATTACACAACGCTGGCAACCCCCTTTTTGGTTTTTGACAGTCGACGTCTACAACGCCTTTGTTGTGTTGTTTTGATTTGTTTTGTTTTATCAACCAACCACGTACTTTCACCGCGTCCTGTTGGCCTTTCAGAAATAAACGCCGAACCTTTTACTAGCTTTGGGTCTAGCCATTCACGCTTGCGGAGCCGCGCTTCAGATCTGCCCGTCCTTCTTCAAACGGTTCTGGACTTGTTGAGTTGGCGGTAACGCTACGTTTCGGGTCGACGACATCCCTGGCCGCCCTTCTTCCCTGGATCGGATCCCTCCTTGACTGGGTACGGAATTCAGTGTTTTCCTCACTGGCTTATGCTGTGTTTCTTTACAACGGCAAAGACTGCCTCATCCATACACAGTCGCAACGTGTCACCTGAGCAGCAACTAAAGAACGGCATTTTTTGCTCCTCCATACCGGCGATTCTAGGTCGTCGTGGGCCTTCCTCCGCGCAGCCATGGATCAAGCTGCGCAAATACTCGAAGTGGCGCATCATGTATACGCTCGTGCAGATGATGCTGCAGATCTGCATGCCACTCGACCGCCCTCCTACAAAATCATCGGCATCCTTCTCGCCGTCGGTTCCGGCTTCTTTATCGGTACCTCCTTCGTAGTCAAGAAAATGGGCTTGCTAAAAGCCAACGAGAAGTACAACGAGGTGGCCGGCGAGGGTTACGGATACCTCAAGAACGCTTGGTGGTGGGCGGGCATGATCCTCATGCTGATAGGGGAGCTTTTGAACTTTGCCGCTTACATGTTCGTGGATGCCATCTTGGTCACCCCTCTCGGCGCCCTCTCCGTCGTCGTCGCTACTGTCGGATCCGCCATAGTCCTCAAGGAACGCCTGAGTATGATCGGCAAGGTTTCTTGTTTTCTGTGCATTGTCGGCTCCGTCGTCATTGTCCTGAACGCACCACAAGAGTCCGCTGTCGCCAACATTCAGCAGTTTCAGCAATTCGTCGTCACGCCAGGCTTTCTGTCATATGCCGGTGTCATTGTTCTGGGCGCAGTAATTGCGGCCTGGTATGCCGGCCCTAGATGGGGAAATAAGAACATGTTGGTATACATCTCCATCTGCAGTTGGATTGGTGGTCTCAGTGTCGTCTCTACTCAAGGCTTGGGTTCGGCCATCGTTGCTCAGGCTGGAGGTGAGGCACAATTCAAGGGATGGTTCATCTACATTGTTATTGTCTTTTTCATTGCCAGTCTTTTGACAGAGCTGATTTACTTGAACGTAAGTCCCGCTGGTCGCCTCAGCTTGCCGACTGATATACTTACGCTCCTTACAGAAAGCGCTAAACTTGTTCAATGCCGCCATGGTTACTCCAACCTATTACGTGTACTTCACTAGCACGACCATCATTACTTCGGCCGTCCTGTTCAAGGGCTTCAAGGGCACCGCTGTCTCGATCGTCACTGTGGTCTTCGGTTTCTTGACGATCTGTTCTGGTGTCGTTCTACTCCAGCTATCCAAATCCGCCAAAGATGTGCCCGATGCCGCTGTCCTTTCTGGAGACCTGGACCAGATTCGCACAGTCGCAGAGCAGGAACAGCCCGAAACCGAGCCAAAGGCCGACGCCCTCAGAGGTGCCGCTGCAATTGTCAGACGTTTATCGTCGGCCAAGCAGCAGAAGATGGAGATGGAAGAACTGAAGCGATTACACGAAGAAAAGATGAGGGAGGCGCTTGAGACAGTTGGCGAGGACGGTCCTGTGTACGAATGGGATGGGCTAAGGCGGAGAAAGACGATATTGGGAAGCAACTCGGCAAGTCAGCGATCAAGAGCTACGACCTCGGCAACCTTCCAACTTCCGATGCCGACACCACACCCGCCCCTCGGATGGTCGCATTTCCCGACCGAGGAAGAGCTTGCTGCAGCCGCTAGACCCGCTTCACCTGCCCTCTCTAGTATTGTCGGCACTATCCGCAACCGAGCGCGCAGCGTCCTCCTCCCTGGCCACCCGAACTTTCGCCCCACCTCAGCATCCAACAAGGTGCAAAGTCCTATGCACCCCGTTCAGCTGACCGAGATCGCTGTACCGGCGCAAGACTTTGACGAGGAAACAGGGTATTACCCTCCAGGATCCGCTGCCGGGCCCTCCTCAAAGGGATATTTGTACGACAGACCAGGAAGCAGAGGTAGTATCTCCAGTTCCGGGCGCCGAGTACAATTTTCTACCGATACCAACCACCCATCTAGCAGCACGCTCGCCGCTCCTCTAGCTCCTCCTCCCCTACGAACACCAACGGGCGCCACCAGGCAGTTTTCCTTCCAGAGCGTCTTCAAGCGCGGCGATCGACGCAGCCAGCACGCCCACACGCAAAGCGACGGCGCCAACTCGCACAAATCCTCTCACTCCTCCGACAAGCAGGACAGAGATAATCTGACCACTCACCGCGGCCTCTCCACGCCACAGATAAGACGGGGCGCATCCGAGGAGGAGACGTTAGGGCTCGTCAGGGGCGACTCGCGCGACTTCCGGACCACGCCACGCACATCGAAGCATTATGACGACGACGATGGCGACGACGGGTCCGAAGAGTTTGAGGAGGTCGGGCGGTATATGGACGAGAAGCAATCGCGGTATGGCCCAAGCATCACGCATAGTCCGCCACGTGTCCCAGGAGCAACCGGAGTAGGAGGGGGCAGAGAGCAGCAATATCTCGGTGGGGAAGAGGAGGATGTGGAAAAGGAGGATACTAAGCATATGGAAAGTGGTGGGCAGGGTCAATCACAGGGACAGGGACAGCAGCACAGGTCATCAAGGAGCGACATTAATTCGTACCGGGAACGTTTGAGAAGAATCAGGGAGCATGAACGTCACAGCGACAACAACGGGGGTGGGTCGGGTCCGTCGTCACCTTCGAAGTCGAGTTCGAATCGTGGAGACGGTGGAGGTTTCATCTGATCTGCTTTGACTCCGGTACGCGTTGAGTTAACCCCAACAAAGGACGAAGGGAAACAACTGCGGGTTGGGATCGGCTGGGATCAAACGAGACGAGAGGGACGGAGTACGACAACAGCGGCAGCGGGAAAGGAACAAAGCACCTTTTTGGTTGATACCCCCCCTTGAGACGGAATGAAATGACACGAGTAACGAACGCTCGCTTATATGTCTGCATACATATTCTTACTTTCTTGATTATGATATCTCATCACCTTTGTACACGATCCATGTATACATGCCTACTGCGCCTTGTACATGTGGCCGTACGTCGGTCGGTCGGAGCTTATATAACTGGCATGGGTGGGGCAATCTTACGGTGGAGAAAGGCAGGGCGGGTTGGGGGAAAAGGGTTTATGATGTATGAGATTATGACATGTTTATCTCTCGGTTATGGATGAGGAAAAAGGGTCGGCTTTTTCTTATATGTGATACAGCACATACGGAGGGTTGTTGTTCCTTTTCGGGTTATTAGAAGACTAGCAAATCAACTCGGGCCGGCATGAGAGTGGTGTCGAGCTGAAGTACCGAGTTTTTCTTCAGCATGTACGGAGAGCGATCACGATCAGAGATGTCGTCTGATATCCATACCTACCAACGTTTATGAGAAGAACCTTGATGGCTGATTTGACCACGGGGTTCACGATACATTTACAGATCAACAACCGCGCTGGGTACATATCATGGGCATGCGATGTCAAGTGCAAGATAGCCACAAGAGTGAGTCGCTGTTAGGGTCCTAACAAAATGCTGGTTGGTGACACAATCATCTCGTACCGTGATGTCCTGACAGTGATGCCGAGGGAACAAGCTGACTTCTAGAATGTTCCCATTTGGGTGGTTTACAAATGCAGGTGGTTTAAGCGAGGTAGCAGTCCCTCCCTGTTGTTACTGTACCCTGGTAAAACGGTGCGCTGCACTAACAGAAGCACTGATCAGATACTGTCGTCCCGTCTATCCGGCCCCTGCCGGGATGTGGATCAAGACCCCAGATTCCCCAACAGCTAACAGCCCCAGAACCCCACCACGTCGCGGCAGCTTCAGATGAACTCCGAATCTCTTCATCAGTTTCCTCTTTCTACCTCGAACCTCAAAAAAAAGATTCTGGTGTCAATCGATCGATATCTTCCCGCGTTTACGTCTGTGTGAACGGCCGCCCAGGATTCGCAAGCTTTTTCGCAAGTCTTCCCCGGACCCCAAGGCATGCGCCACCCGTTGCTCGGCCCCATATTCAAGCGTCACTGTCCTCCTCCTTGAGGACACTCGTATCTGCCTCCTCCGACTTCCGACCTCGTGCTCCTCTCGTCGCCTAGACCGCCGAACTACTTGTCGACTTCCACTCGAATCTCAATCGCATTTTACTAGCTCGGCGACAGTTGTTCAAAATCAACTCCGAGCCATTTTCCCTGCCTCCGTCTCTTACCTTCCTTCTCCTCTAGACCAGCAAGTCTTTTCGCGGAAACAAAAGTACCTCTTCTCAGCCGAGATACCAGCGCGTACGAATTTCATCAAACAGCGACAATCACCAACAAGATGTCAGGACAATCCTCACTAGCCCTCAAAGAGGAGGGTAACCGCCACTTCCAAAAGGGCGACTACGTCGCTGCCGAGGCGTTGTACACCAAGGCGCAAGTCCTTCCTTCTGCTCCTCCCGCTTCCTCCATCCCATTCCCCATCATCCTCAACACCACCGCCACACATCTCTCTCGGCCGACCCAAAACCATACCAAAACTAACAGCCCCCTTTTTTTAAAACACACAGAATCCTCGCTGACCCCACAAACCCCCTCCTCTACACCAACCGCGCCATGGCCCGCCTCAAAATGTCTCGCTGGGACTCGGTAATCGAAGACTGCGAGGAATGTCTCCGCCTGTCCTCCAGTACCAGTACCAGTACAACCCCCGGCGGCAGCAGCAAAAACTTCAAAGCCCTCTACTACCTCTCCCAAGCGCACCTCCCGCTCAAAAACTACGACCAAGCCGTTGCCTACGCGCTGGAAGCGCACAAGATTTGCGCAGACACGCACGACAAGAGTTTGGCGGCCGTGACGAGTCAGGTGCTCAAGTGCAAGAAGGAGAGGTGGGAGCACAGGGAGAAGTTGAGGAAGAGGGAGGAACAGGAACTGGAGGGCGAGGTGGTGGAGATGCTGAGGAGGGAGATGGACGGGTTGCTGAAGACTACTAGTTCTAGTGGTGAGGATGAGGATGAGGAAGGGAGGAAAGAGACGGAAAAGATGTACGAGGAGAAAATCGAGAGGATACGAGCCGTCTTTGAAAGGGCGAGGGATAAGGAAAACCAGCGAAGACCGAATCCGCCAGATTGGGCGATTGATGATATCAGTTTTCAGGTCATGGTTGATCCTGTGATGGTAGGTTTTTTTTTTTCTGCATCCTCTTGCTTCTCCTTCTTTTCAAGTCTCATGGGTGGAGTGGTGGTGACTGACTTTGGATACAAAAAAACACAGACAAAAACAGGCAAATCCTACGAACGCGCATCCATCGAGGAACACCTCCGAAGAAGCGAGACGGATCCGCTGACGAGAACACCCCTGACCATCAAGGATCTGCTGCCCAACATCGACCTTAAGCACGCTTGCGAGGAGTTCTTGAATGAGAACGGGTGGGCGGTTGACTGGTAGACGTAGCGATCGTTCGGTAGTAGTTTACGGTCTTACGATCCTACTCACCTGGCCTTGAAATCAGTTTCGGGGGTGGAAGCGTTCCGTTCAAGTTTGTCACAATATTCAGTGCATAGCAGAGCGGTGTTTCTGGGAGTCGTTGTTTGAAATCACAAGCCTATTCGGCTTATAAGCTTGTGATTGCGTTCATTGCGCTTCAGCTGTTAGGTAAATCACAGCGGCTTCGTATTGCGCCTCTGTACATACATCTAATTGATGAGAGCCTGAAGGACACTACTAATCAACAATCCAAGCAGAGTGTGCCAGTAACAAGACATATATTCGACGACATAGGTACCCCAACTTCGTTTACGCCTCCTGACCATCCCTAAATCTCATACAGCTACAAAATCATGCTAACCCAGCCATACACAGTATACACATCCATATGAGCCTCCCAATTCCAGGCTGTAATCAAAAAACAACACCAGACATCCAGCTTCCCAGATAGCCATCCTCCCTCCCACGCCGATGTACGGCAATATCATACACACTCAACACAAACAATGAACAGAAGAAAATATGGTGGTTTGCTCGGCCTGGCCGCCCATGGTATCCCAGCCCCATCAGTCAGATCAACAACTCCTCGGTTTCCAGCCTCGAATACGAAATCAAATTAATGTGAAGCGCCAATCCAAGTCTCCGCGCTTCATTAACAAAGAAGCGTACCTCCAGCGAGTAGAGGTGCCAAACTTTGAAAGGAAAATATAGAGAGTCCAAAACCCGAAAACACCTGAGAGGCGTACGGGAAGAATGAACAAGAAAAAATGATGCAAAGTGGGTGGGTAAAAAGCATCGCAACGCAGGCCATAGGCGCGAGTACCAATTTGTCTTCATCCCACAACATTGGTGACGGGACCTCAATCTCACCGTTTCCTCTCTTCTCATAGACGGCATGGCCTCGTTATTTTTGTTTTGCTTGTGTAGTTGGAGAGACCGTCTGCTCCAAATGAAGGCGTATGTCTTGAATACGTATGTTCGTTGTGGCATGTTTTTGTAATTTATACATTATTAATATGCCTGCCCTAGTGGTGTTTCATTGCTCACTGGTGGCGGGGGAGCAGGGGAGGCGGTTCGCGAATCTGGGCGGTACTCCTGGGCAACTGGGCTGGGGCCGGGAGGTGTCATCCGTCGACTTGCGGTCACCGGGCTTTGCGTGCCGTGTGTGATGGGGCGGTCAACGGGCGAGCCGGGGTTTCCGTTCTGCACCGGGCTCATGGGGTTGTTGCCACCCGGTGAAGCAGGATGTCCGCCATTGGGGCTCATAGTTCCATTATGAGGCATCATTGGCCCAGCGGGAGACTGTGGTCGAGACCACGAGCCGGGAGGTGGTGGGCCGCGAGGGTTCATGAACTTGGTATTGATCGGTCCGGGGCCAGGACGTCCGCCGTTCGGTCCACCTTGGGGAGGACCACGGGGTCCTCCGTTAGGACCGTATCCAGGCCCGCCATTCGGGCTCATAGGTCCATTGCCAGGTCCTCCAGGACCATAGTTAGGCCTGACTGGAGGCCCGCGGGAACCAGGACCGCCCTGGGGGGGCCGTGACTTCACGGGACGCGCGGACAAGCAAGTCCGGGGAACAACGCCCTGTTGAGACCGGTCGAGGCGAATGCAAAGTGCCCAGCCATCATCGTACTCGTGCAGAAGACGAACGAGCTGTCCAGCCTGAAGAGCCATTTCATCTTCCAGCGTTGGCCTAAAGTCGAGCTGGACACGATGGACAGTGGACTGTGCAGGTCCACCAGCGGCAGCAATGGCGGCAGCGCTAGCCGAGGGCCCAGGTGGTAGGCCAGGGCTAACAGTGTTGATGCTATAGTCGGTTCCAGCAGGGCTGGGCGGGTGGGCGTTCAACGGCAGAGGTTGGGGCTTGGTCAGATCAAGAGGTTTGAATCCATCGTTCCGGATGGAAGTTTTCCGAGTTAAACCGCCAGCAGCAGCACCCGCGACAGCTCCAGCCGCACCAGCGGAGACAGACGAGTCGCCAGCCGGGCTGACTGGCGAAGACTCTTCGGGAATTTGCTGATTATCACCGAATGGGTTGAAGCTCGCACTAGTGCCGGGTCTTTCGCCAGCGGTCTGAGTCGAGCTGACAGTCGGACGCTCCCAAGCGCTAGCTCCTGCAGGACGGCTGAGGGGGGACCCAGGTACGTTCGAGCTGGTGTTCATCATGTTGGCGCGGCTGGTTCTCCTTTCTGGAACTTCGGTGGGCATGAACTGACTGGCGGGTCGCAAGCTCAATTGCGGGGCGGCGGTCGGGGCTTTGATCTCGTTCTTGTCGGAAAAGGGACCGTTGATCTTTTCGTCATCTGCCAGGCGTTGCTTCTCTGCTTCCATCTGGCGTTTTCGCTTGGTGAAGAGGAGCCACACCAGCAGTAAGACAGCCAGCAAACCAGCCAACACACCAATGGCAATACCGGCTGTGGCAGCACTGCTGGTCCCTTGTTGAGTGTTGCTTGCGGCGGTGGCCGTTGGAGCAGCAGTTGTGGATGTGGGGGCTCCCAAGCTCATGGATGTCGGCGACGCAACCGCCAAGGTAGACTCAAGCTCGAGGGTTCCCGTTGACCTGATCTCATCCGTCATGACGTCTGATGGGAGCAATTCTGCAGGCGCTGATGACACTGGTGATTCTGGCGCCTTGGTGGTGAAAGCTTTCAACAACGTGGTGGATGGCGGGGCGGCGCTGTGGTGTGTAGTGGTGTGCGCAGTCGTGGTCGCAGGGGCAGCTTCAGCGGTCAGAGGAGGCCCGTTGGTCGCAATGGTTTCCTGGGCAGTAGCTGTCGCCCAGAAGTTCTCGTCGGTCACTGTTTGCGCAACTCTGGTGGTGAAGGCCTCCGTTTTTTGTTCGGGAAGAAATACGTTGTTCCAAAATGACTTAACGTCGTCCCAGCCCTTGCGCTCGAGGTGATGATGCGCATGGCGCACATGAATCCTATGGTCCGACATGTTGGGCGAATAGAGTAGGAGTCGTGATGATTCGGGTAATGGTGTTGGGTCCCCAGTTTTTCGGATGAAATAATCACGTCGCCTTCGTCTCTCTCTCGTCGTCGTCGTCGTCGTTTAAGTAAAGCAGATGTTGGTGTGATGGTGTCTTCTCTTTCGTGAGAATTGCCTAAAAATGAATGTCTGGTCGAGCGGAAGTCAATCGCTCGTTGTCGTAATGCGAACTTTGATCAGTTGCAAAGAAGGAATGGCAAGATATCTAGGGCGCGATATCTAGGCTGTGTGGGGGACTAAAGTAAAAGGAAGGGAAGGGGCGAGTCAACATGTCACGAGCTCATGATCATGGATCTCAGAGACTCAACACCACGGGGCGAAAAAAGAGAGGCGCGTTCTTCCAACGGAGAAAGTGTGGAAGATGCAGGAGGGAGAAGAAAAAAAAAGAGAAGAGGTTGAAGGAGGAGTTGAGAGGCTGAGAGGAGTCGAGAAAATGCCAGCGCAATGTTGGGTTGCAGAGACAGACCGTTCCTGCCCAGTCCTCCTAGCCGACTCCGGCCACCATGCGGCATGCGGGTCAAGACTTCCCAAGCTGGGGAACCAAGCGAAGCTAGGTACCTACCTAACCTCACAAGTTTGTGTACAATGCACCTATGTGCCTGCCGGGAATTGAAGGGATCGCGTTCACTTCCATCGTTGTGTGGCTTCACTCTAAGATTGTGTTTGATGTTGCTGATCAGTCAACAACTCATAGAACTTTGCTCGAGTCGTTTCATTCTCAATGAGAGAACCAGTGCCTCTGCGATCTACAATCAGTCGGGTCCCTATCGTCCACTCGTTCTCTCACGCTTACCACCTCCGGAGGAGCCTGCAATCTGCTCAGGTCCCAGGCGTCTCTGATTGGTGGGCCCTGCTAATCACTCATCAAGCGAAATTGCTGCCAGGGATCCTGATTGGCTTGTGGATTCGTGAATCGCAGACCCCATCACTTATTTTTGCGGGGCGGGCGCCGACAAACATCCCCTTGACATCCCCAATAAGTTTGTATTCCGTTCGCTACACTAGACTAGTCTCGGGGACAACGACAAACCCTGACGACTCCTTTCCTCCGCAACAGCAAGGTGAAGCGAAAAGACTTTTCCGCTTTCTTTCTCTCGCTTCGTTTGATCCCGCTCGTGCCGCGTATGCACAATCGATATGCAAGTCATGTAGTGCGAAGCTATCGGGTGATGACAGCAAGCCACAGTTTGCACCGTTGCGTTACCAGACGGAACAACGAGCGGTTTCTCTTCCTTTGGCTGAGAGGCATCACGGGGATCGGCAGTTGGATCGAGCCACTCACTGCTGGCCTTCTGGTCAACTTCTTTTGAACAGTTGAACCCCCGGTAGTCATAAGAAAACTCCGAGCAAACTTCCTCTCCTTCTCCTCCCTTGCGCTGTACATCTCGTCTATCGCACCATCCGTGTGGGAGATTGGAGGTCTGAGCAATAGCCCCTTAGCTCTTAACGGCAAGATAGAAACTTGTGATAAGATCGCAATTTGAGCTCGGCTCACGGGACCGCAATGCTAAGCAACTGATCCCCCAGGTGTAATATCCGCCAGCAAGGACGATCCAAGGACCAAACCCAATGTTTGTCGGCTGTCCTGCCCGGACGGGCCCAGTGCTGGAGAACCAAAGAGGGCCCCATCGTCCATCCCCCCCTTGTAATTTCTGAAACGCTAGCATAAAGCAAGGGTACCGTTGCCTCGACGCGTTGCCTCGACGTTGCACTTTAGTCCCTGTGCTGGGCCCTGGGTTGTTTATACTCTCCCCATTGACATCATCAGTCAACTCGGTCAATTTCGTGGGTGAGGTGATCATCGTCACAGCCTCAGTGGTAGTCTCTTCAACTTCCTCACACACAATCCGAAGTCGGAGCACACCGGGCAATGGCACTGGGAAGAAGGCGGTAGTACATACATAGTGAGATTCAAGACGTCCGTGGGAAATGGGAAGGGGTAGGACGGGCGCGGTAAGCTCGGTTGAAGCCATATGTGAGAGGTTTCACATTGGAGAATCTTTTATCATTGCAGTATAGCGGAGTGGAAAAAAGTGATGATCAGAAGAGAGCGAAAGTTGGGAAATATCCCTCAGAGGCGACCGAAAGGGCCAAAGACTGACAAACGATGGTACACGGGCACCACGGCTCGCAACATCCATCCCGTGGCACAGCGCCGTAAGAAGAAGAAGCTGACAAAAGTCACCCTCAAAACCTCAGCATGAAGATGCATATATCGCTTCTTCCCGTCTTCCCCATCCCAGCTTCCTACGCATATATATATAATATATATATATATATATTCGCACCCGGATTTGCGAATTGGTTCCCGTCTGTTGGGAGCATACCAACACATCATACGTACAATACAGCCCGATGTTAATCTGTTTGTAAGCTTAGTATTTTCAGGATACAGGACGACATCTACCCCGAATTGTCCTAAACCTTACAAAGACAGGTTAAAAGTCAGCTACTATTTCAAAAGTATTGATCGGATCCAATACGAGTAATTTAATATAGTGAAGAGTATACTCCGGGGAAAGAAACGGATCAATTAGATGATATTAGACCACAAATCAGCATCTGACTATATACTCACAGTTGTTTATCCGCACGAACCACTCGATCCAAACTGAACATACGGGAAGAGCGGGAGGTATCGTAGTGTAGTGCAGCTCTGAGTAGGAGGAGCGCATAACAAGACAAGGGTAACGCATTGAACATGAATGATGACGGACATAGCGTGTCTTGCACCGTAGTACCGAGTTACCCGTGATGTTGTAAAGGCATCATGAAATATTGATCACCCATGTGCATAGTAGCATCGCGCCGTATTTGTTCACATTATGGATATACATACATAGTAGCACGACACAGCACAGCAACAGCACAGCGCCATTTTCATGAATAAGATCGACGTCACATTTTTCGTCTGTTGGTTTCTCCACTTGATCTATCTATGTGAAGCAAGTGGATGATTATACAGCTCGCAATGCGTGGGTCTATCTGGAGCGATCCAACAACTGCCGCTGCCGTTTCCCAAAGCAGACCTAGTAGCTGAGCCGGAGATACACAAGTATCTAAACAACCAGCAATGTCAATCGATGATAACATCACGACTATGTGTATGTGCCTCTGGGCCTCTTTGTTTGTATCGCACTATCCCTGCCACAGGTATGTGTCTGGTTTGTGTGTCACTTTCGGTCTGGTGTCCGATAGATCGACAACCATATCCCCCAATAGGTACCAGCCATGATTGCTGTATGTACAGCATATCGTTCTTGTTAACTTGACATCAGGAACACCATGCTGCATCATCATAGAGATGCTGAATGACCAGAAATGATTCTGGTATGATATGTACTCGCTCAAATACTCAAACAGCTTCAAAACTGTACTTCAAGCCCCATCCTTTCCTTGTACAAAGAGTATCCAGACGCTTGTTCAGTTTTGCTTGCCCCGATTGATGTAGGGAAAGAATAGTATACCCTAATCAATAGCACAACTTAACCATGCTCCTTCAATGAAGGCTAGGCCGGTTGCAAACGAAGGTTCGCTCAAGGAGCCATCCTTCTTCAGAACCGAAAGTCAAGCCAGACCCTCTCGAACAAACCAAAAATACTGACAGACATAACTCGGGACATGTACATGGTATGAAGGTAGAGAGACCCTCAGGTAATGCGCTACCAAGGCCACTGCATGTTGCCTTCGTAAATCAAGGATCGAACAAATGGTCGGTTGATCTTCTAGAAACAGTCACTGCTCTAGTAGAGATATGTCTCGAAGAATGGCGCCCGACACCTTCATTGATAATTGTTGGCGATCCACGCGGCAACTGGGTAGCTCGATTCATCCTACTTAGGAGCCTGACCGTATGCGTTGTGCTGTCCCCAATACTGCTGCTGCTGCTGCTGCTGCTGCTGCTGCTGCTGTTGCTGCTGTTGCTGAGGTTGTTGAGACTGTTGGGGCTGTTGGGGCTGTTGGGGCTGTTGGGCATGCTGGGCCTGCAGCTGTTGGAAGAAGTTCGGGTTTACGTATGCGCCAGAGATAGGGGGTGGGGGCGGGACGCCAGACCACACAGGCGGGACGGCCGGTGCCTGATGAGGGTAGCTGGGAGTTGACGATTGTTGCTGGGGCGCGGAAACAGATGATGACGAGGACTGTTGTGGGTATTGATACGGTTGGCCCTGAGCCTGATTCCACGCCTGAAAGTTAAAGTTGAAAGCTCCTGCAAGCTGAGGGGGAGGAACAGGTGATTGGGTCGAGGGCCGGGGGAAGGAAATAGGGGGCGGTGGGAATGGAATCGGGATATGAGGCCAATGGCCACCGGGCATCGGGGGTGCTGCTCCTGGGGTTGCGCCGAAGGGAGGCGGGGGGATTTGAGCATTCGGGGGAATAGGAGGAGGCAGCTGTGGGTTGGGGAATGGAGGAGGTGCCGAAGTGCTCTCGTAGCCTCCATAGGACGGGGCGGCAGCACCACCACGTCCACCACGGTGGCCACCAGGCTTCCGATCAGCACCACGGTATCCTCCGCGCTGGCCACGTCCGCGGAATTCACCCCGGTTTCCACGGCTGAAGCCACCCCGCTGACCCTGACCACCATGTGCCGCGTTGAATCCGACCTCAGGCTTCGGTGGCAGTGAGGGCGGCCCTCCCTGACCAAAGCCTACGGGCCTAGCGAGAGGCCTGTAGGGACCATCGTCATCCTCGTCGTAGTTAAGCGTAGCGCTGGATACTGTGGGACTGTGGTCGAGGGTGGCACTGGATGCTGAGGGAGCATACGCAGTGCTCGGGGCGTAAGACTGGTCACGAAGAACCTGCTCACGCAGACCCCCGCGTCCAGCCTTTCCACCACGCTTCTTCATCTTTAGCTGCTTCTTGTATTCGGCCTCCTTCTCGTCGTCAGAAAATTCCATTTCGTCAGCAGCGACTTCTTCGTCGTGGAGATTGCTGGCATCGGTGCCCTTTTGTTTTTTGAGCTCCTGGGTGAAGACGTAGTTGGCGTGTTCAACGGAGTAGAAGATCTGTGTGCCGACCTCCAGGCCAAGCTCCTTGATCTCGTCCTGGTTGGCAAAAGCGCAAGTGTACAGCGGGCTTTTGACATTGCCGATGATTTCAGCCAAGGCGCCGATGACCGTCCTGTCTTCCTTGCAAAGAACCGAACCCAAGTCAAGCACCTTGACCTCGCCGGGGACTCTAGACTTCATGACCACGGTATTCTCAACGATAAACTCGACGTGAGCCAGAGGCTCAATCTTCATTTCGGGGGTGATGACCACCTCGGGCTTGGGAATGATCTCCTCGACGATCTCGTTCTTGGTCCGCAATGGCGCGCCAGCTCCTTTTCCTTTGTTGGGTCCATCCTCGTCTTCCTCGTCAAGGCCGGCCATGAGCATCCTGACTGTTTCCTCCACGCCCAACACGGGGTGCGCATCTTCGTCATCCGAATCATCATCGGATGAGCTGTCGGAGCTCGACTCCGAGGAAGATTCGTATGGCGACGAATCCTCTTCCCACTCAGGGTGTTCCTCCTCTTGAGCACCGTCTTGATCGCCGTTGGTCATGTTTGCCGAACTGGTGGGAGCATCCAGCATACCATTGAGGGCGGCTTCGAGTGTAGAAGTGACGTCGGGGCTCGGAGGAGAGTCGAGGTTGGAAGCAGTGGGATTCTCGGTGGCAGTTTGTTGCTTGTTGTCGCCGTGATTCGTCATGCTGACGTCTTCCTGTGCCTTTGCAGGCGTGCTGTCTGATTGCTTGGAATCAACATCCATAGCGTTCTCATCCTTCTTCTCTTCGGTCTTTGGCTTGGGCAATCCAAGCAATTGCGCAGGGTCAGCAGAGTTCACTGCCAGGACGTCCTGTCCGACGATGCTAGCGGCAGCGACAAGAAGATCAGGTGCAAAGTTGTCAGCGGGGAGCTGCTCGTTTGGCCTTGCCTGGCCAAGGCCTGGAATCTGGAAGGGGTGTTCAGACATGGCAAAGCGAGGCGAAGAAAAGGCAACAATAGTGGTCTAGGCTGAATGTAGTGTTGTTGTCGAACAGGAATTGCTCCGGTGACGATAGGGTGAATGCTGGTTGACAAGAGGTGGCAATGGTGTGCGAATTGACTGTAGCACCACGCGTCGCACAGGGTGCTTCTTGGGAAAGAAGATGGGTGCGCCTCTTCGTAGATATCGATCAATTCAAACTGCGATATCAAATACCAAGCGCAGTCAATCCTCGAAAAAAGGATATGAAGATAAACCCTCTGTGAGCAAGATGATGGGATGGCGAAGGAAGGGGAAAGATTCAAGCAAAACAGCAACTTCCTTTGCAGGACCATTTCCTTATCGCGACTCTTATCGGGCATACCAAATCCAAAATTTGGGACATGGGTAAAAAAAAAAAAAAAAAAAAAAAGTTATCGAGCCAGACCCCTGTCGAATGGCGGGCAAAGCTGCAGGAAGCACGGATTGGAATTGAATGCGCTACTCCCGTTACGGACAAGCGCGGAACAAGCCCAGCCTGCCGAGCCTGCCTGGACCGACGTCTTCACGTGCATTGAATGCCTGCACCGAATCCAACCTCTGATGGAGCGCTGTCCAATTGCGGGAGTGACGCAAGACGAGCTGCTGAAAATCCCCCAACTTTTCTGTTATTGTTGAACGCCAGACTCTGGCCAGTTGCGGGTTGTGTTGTTGACTGCGGCTTATCCTGATAGCGCCAATGCTGTGACGACATTTCTTCCTTTCCTTTCGCTTCAACTTTGTCTCCCTCCCTCCCAATTCCAACTTAATCTTGAATTCATCCAAAACACATCAGTTCCAAAGACAGTGACGATCCGATGCCACCACCTACCAGCGAAGCTCCCAAGAAGGAGTTTGTGCATCCCAAAGCCAAACATGCCAAGAAGCAGTTAGTGAAACCCAGCACCCATCACGATCATGACAAGCTCCCATTCTGCTTCACTCATGTCTGCTTGACATTGGTTGCTGGAACGTGCAGTTAACATCCGTGTCTCCAGGGCAATTCGAGATGCCTACGCGATCGAGCCCATCTCGGCCTTCTACATCTTCCTCGGAGCCAACCTGATTGCCGCTCTCTTCGCCCCCATCCAGGACTGTGACGAGACGTTCAATTACTGGGAACCAACACACTATCTGAGCCACGGCTATGGCCTCCAAACCTGGGAATACTCGCCCGACTATGCCATCCGAAACTGGCTTTACGTCGCCCTCCATGCCATTGTGGGCAATATCCGCAGGCTGCTCCCTCACTCCAACAAGGTCGCCGAGTTCTACTTTGTCCGCTGTGTTCTGGCTGTCATCTGCGCCCTCAGCCAAACGCTCATGTGGAGGGCTATCTGCTTGGCCCTGAACCCGAGGATCGGCCTGTTCTTTATCGTGGCGCTCGTATTCAGCCCCGGTAATTTCCACTCCAGCACCGCCTACCTGCCCTCCAGCTTCGCCATGTACATGGCCATGCTGGGAGCCGCCGCTTTCATCAACTGGCGTGGGGGTCTCAAGACTTCCATGGCCATGTTCTACTTTGCCATTGGTGGTGTGCTTGGGTGGCCTTTTGCCGCCGCCCTTTGCGCCCCTTTCTTGTTGGAGGAAGTCTTCTTTGCCCTGGTCGGCGATAAGGATCGCTTCTTTGAAGCCGCTCATCGTGTGGTCCGCGGTGTCGTTGCGGCTGGTCTGCTTGTGGTAGGTCACATCTCTTCTTTCGCCATTGTGCCCTCTTCTTGTAGCAAGTGCTAAGATGTTCTAGTTCGGGGACATGCTGGTCAACACCTTCTTTTACAGGAAGGTTGAGATTGCCTCCTGGAACATTGTCAAGTACAACATCTTCTCCAAGACCGGTGGGCCTGAGCTTTATGGCACTGAGCCGTGGGACTTCTACTTCAAGAACCTCACATTGAACTTCAATATCTGGTTTGTCTTGGCACTGTTCTCCCTCCCAATCTTGTTGCTGCAGAAGCTCCTGTCCAAGTCCGCCGAGACTTTCCAGACCGGCTTCCGCACCGTGGTCTTCTTGACCCCCTTCTACATGTGGCTCGCCATCTTCTCCCTCCAGCCCCACAAGGAAGAGCGGTTCATGTACCCTGCCTACCCCTTCCTTGCCCTCAATGCTGCGCTTGCTATCCACACTCTGCTCGCGGCCTTTGGCAATGCCGATCCCAAGAGCCTGGTTGGTAAAATTCCCGCCAAGCTGAAGCTCGGCGTGGTAGCCCTTGGCCTGCTCTTCTCCATGGCCATTGGCCTCGCTCGTATCTACGGTCTCTACACAGCCTACTCTGCACCTCTCTCCATCTACAAGCCCCTCTTCGAGGTAGGCGGCGAAGGCGACACCGTCTGCTTCGGCAAGGACTGGTACCGCTTCCCCAGCTCTTACTTCCTCCCCCGCGACATGCACGCCAAGTTCATCCGCTCCGAGTTCCGCGGTCTTCTGCCCGGTGAGTTCTCAGAGGCCGGCACCGGCTTTGGTCTCTTCAGCGGCACCTGGCTGCCCACCAGCGGCTTGAACGACCGCAATGAGGAAGATCCGGGTAAGTATGTTGACCCCAGGACTTGCGTGTTTCTCGTCGACACGCAGTTCCCCGAGCAGCAGAAGGGTCTGGATTGGAAGGCGCCGCCCAACGAACCCGATTTTGCTGCGGACACGGAACACTGGGAAATCGTCAAGTGCGAGAAGTTTATGGATCCGGCGAGCACCAGCTTTCTGGCGAGGGCCTTGTGGCTGCCTGATTGGGAGATCATCCCGGAGAAGTTCAGGAGGAAGTGGGGACGTCATTGTTTGTTGAAGCGGAAGCAGTGAGTCGTCTGGGGCCCTTAGATGGCAGTGAAGAGGATGTTGGTGTATAGGTAGTTCAATATCCACACTGTAGAGAAAAATGCGTACAGTACATACATGAAGAAGTGTGTACCGAAATTACCTTTGTGTACGTGCCGCCGCCCAGTGACTGAGATAACCATAATCTGCCGGGATGTTAGTGTTAGGGCGAGTATGGAATAGAGGTAAGTGACTGGGCACTTTTCTGTAAATACCAAGTAAGCACTCGTCAACGGTAAGGTACTGCATGCCCCAAGGGAAAACAAGCACTTACCTACGAACCTAAAGTCGCACAGCGGTATCACCAAATGTCTATTTATTGTTCGGCGCTTAGGGAGACCCACCTTTGCTACTATGCTATGCTACACTACAGCTGACGACAACGTCGATCATGTAAATTGGCATGATGTATTACTCCCAACTTCTCTTTTTCACCTTGCTACCTCTACTCAGGCCGGAAAGTCTTTCGACCTCACCGCAGTCTCATACTAGTAAAACTTCCTGAGCTCACCTATGCTCCATCCAGCTGAGCAGTTCCTACAGCACCATGATATCCCCATCCTCCGGCTGCCCAACATCTTCTATCAACAGTAACACCTACACAGTCTCCTCATCTTCTGCCTCTTCCCCAATACCTTCATCATCCCATCTAGACCCCGATTCAAGATCCCACAAAGGATCCTACGAAGCAGTCCTCGAGTACTTCACCTCCAACTCCCTCTCCCATCCCACCTTCAAACGTATGACTCTTTCGTCTCTCACTTCTTTACCTCTACCGATAACCCCTCTTCGCTTTCACCAATAAACATACCACCACACCTCACTTCATATGAAGCTTTTATCCGGTATTCCATCACCAAAGCAGCCCCTGCAGCATCACTGCCTCCAACAGTACCTCTATCACCGAACCAATTCTGCCCCCGCTGCACCAAAGCCCTAGCATCATCCCCACCACCCCCCTCCCACGCTGCATGGTGGCGTCGCGGAGGCGAGCTATGTACCCCCGAGGAATTGTTTCATTCGGCCAGCGAGGGGCAATGTCAATTCTGCTGGTTTGTGATGGTGAAGGTGCTGAGGAGGCTTGTTGTTGGAGTCCAAGTCGAGGATGAGGAGGATTTGAAACAGAAAGTCGAGGAGGTTTGGAGGGATATAAAGTATCTACTGGTTGGACTGTCTTTTTGGGCGGAGGATAGGAGGGAAGATGTTTGGAGGGGGGAGGTGAGCGTTAGGTGTCTGCCAAGAGTGCCTCTAGGAAGGGAGAAGGATGTGGACGTGGATATGGAGGGGAAGGTGGTGGTTAGCGAGTTTGTCAGGTTGAGGGGGTATATACCCGGTATGTGCCCAGAAACTGTCTAAAAGATCGACTTGAACAGTCAAGAAAGTAAAACAGTTGCTAAAAGTTTTTTTTTGTTTTTTTCCCGTAGGCCCCAGCTATCCCCCTTCCTTCCTCGCCTCCTTTCACACAGCCAGCGAACAAAGCTGGAACCAAGCCCTCGAATGGATCAACAACTGTCGTTCACACCCTCTGTGCAGCGCTGCCGAGACCATGGGCTCTCACGACCGGCGTCCTGCGCGACTAATCGCCGTCGGGCGTCCTGGAGAAACGCACGTCCGAGTCATCGAAACAGCCGGACTGGCTGTCTCCGAGACACCCTTCATGTCGCTGAGCCACTGCTGGGGAAAGGACGGGGTGCCCACCCAGCTCCTCAAGGAAAACTATGACTGTTTCACAAAGGAAGGCATCAAGCTCACCGAGCTGCCCAAGACCTTCAGGGACGCCATCGAGGTGACGCAGAGGTTGAACATCGTGCCCTACATCTGGATCGACTCTCTCTGCATTATTCAAGACTCTAAACAAGACTGGGACAACGAGTCGGTCAAGATGCAGTACGTTTATCGCAACTCGGTGCTTAACCTGGCCGCGGGAGCCTCGCCTAACTCTCACGGCGGGTTGTTCAACGCGCGCCATCCGCTTTCGACGGTACCTTGGTCTATAGAGGTACCTTTATCAGACGACGACGATAAAGATTACAACATCAAGAATAAGAAGTTTCTAACAAGCGAATACCGCTCCGAAAAGGAATCGGACCTCATCCTCTTCACACGCGGCTGGGTCCTCCAGGAACAACTCCTCGCTCGGCGCACCCTGATCTTCGGCAAGGAAGAACTGCACTGGGAGTGCGTAACCTGCGAAGCAAGCGAGTCATTCCCCTTGTCCATCGATAGGGAGCGTTGGGACGGCGATGTGAATGACAGGCGAACCATCTTTCAGCATCAGTGGGAGAACCTTACTGGAACCGACACTGGCAGCAGGCTGGTTCCCGCTGATAATAGTGACATGAAAGCCAAGCGGCGCAAAGCCTGGGAACTCCTGGTCCAGACGTACTTCAGCCGGTCGCTGACCAAGGCCTCAGACAGGCTGATAGCCATCTCCGGCATAGCGGAGCAACTCGGCGTTCGATGGGGTCCGGGGGTAACTTATCTGGCGGGATTGTGGTCGTACCGGCTCGTTCAGGGGCTTTTGTGGTATATGGGCGGCGAAGATCGGTGTGAGGAGCGGGATGCGCAGGCGGCGCCCTCGTGGTCGTGGGCGTCGCTTGTGCCGGAGCATGTACCCGGTGTAACGGACCTGAAGCTGACATATGCAGAGGCCGAGTGTGTGGATGGCTTGGCGGAGGTTTTGGAGGCGCAGGTGACACCTGTCAGATCAACGAATCCATTTGGGCCGGTGATTCCTGGCTCTGGGAGTATCAAGCTTAGGGGGCCAGTGCTGCCGAGACCGAGGATTAGGAATAGGGATGGGAATTGTGAGGTCTATGATTTGGTTTTTGGAGCGAACGAGATGAGTTCGGATTTTAGGTTGAACGAAAGCGGCGTATACGTCAATATGGCTACCGGTATGCCTGCTTATCTGCATTCGTATCAGTCTATCGCGGTGCGTTGGGACCAGCGCTGGAAATAAATCAAATACAAATAAATATGGATCTGTATTTATTTGAGTGGGTCAAATATGAAATCATATTTATTTGATTTGTATTTGTATTTATTTAGTTAAATATTTGAATTCGAGATGAGGGTGTTTAGATGGCCCGTGCATAGGTGTTCAGGGTCCTGATGGTGGTAAAAGGAAAAGGATTTTCCCTACTTTAACCCTAACCCTAGAAATTCTGCCGGGCGGACAAATAGGTCAAATCAAATATGAATTCATATTTATTTGGGTAAATCAAATATGCTCGCATATTTATTTATTTATATTTCCATATTTACTTGTATTTGGCTTGGCAATTTGATTTATCTCCAGCGCTGGTTGGGACAATATCAATGATATGAAGGAAGATGAGGAGGAGGCTTACCTGGCGCCGCTTCAGGTTCAGCTTATAGAGGACGGACCGGCTGGAACCCCGAGCAAACTTCAACTTGTTGGATTGGTTCTATTGAAGGCATCATCGTGGCTCGCGGTACCACAGTTTCGACGAGTGGGCTTATTTTTCATCACTGACGAGGCGCCTCAGTGGAACTCTGCCCCTGACAATGAACTTCAAGACGACGAACAACGGGACAACGAAACGGCTACTCACATGAACGTCGACTTTGAAAGCTCTTCGGACCCCGAATCTCGCGCCGTCCGATATCCGGACCCAAACTACCATCACCACCCGCCAGACACATACGACGACTCCAGTAATTCACAACCGGACGACGTTTGCTCCGACGATTCCTACTCATCTAACCCCTTTGCCAACGCTACATGGGAAAGTGAGTCCGGTGAGGAAACAGAAAGAGATCCCGCCGAGTTCAACGAATACTATTACGAAGACTTCTCCGTCTGGGCAACGGGCATCGAGCGCCTTAAGAACCAGGGCTTCCTGCGTAACATTGACACATGGTTCGCTCAAAGAATTCAGCAAGGGCAACGATCGGATCCCTTGAAGGAAGACCCCTACGTCAACGGTCCACGTCCGCTGAACACCAATCTGGCAACGCGATACTCACCGTGTCTCCCACGGACGTTCTACCATCGGATTAATAGGTTTCTGGAGACCTGTCAGGCTGTGGCTCGACTTAAGCCTGACGTGGTGCTGGGTGGCGGGGAGGCAAATGGTTATTTTGTTTATGAGATTGTGTGAAGGCCGAGTGGAGTTGGGTCGCTGTAGGCATTCAGGTTATCATGTTGAAAGGCTGAGATTTTGATCAGAAAACAGCCTAACGTCCAACACTGATATGAGCAGCGTACATATCCATCGTCATCTTTGTTCTTTTTGATTAGATGGGCAGTGGATGGAGGTCAGCGTCAGTAGGAAATAACAGAACTTGGGCGACAGACCTGCCCTGCTCGAAGTACTCGACATAAGTAGTTGCCGGAATTGGACTGCGGTTCATCTGATCACCAAGTTCGCATTACGGAATTTCACCTTCCCAGGTAGATGTTGTTGGTTGATCTGAAATGATGCAAGGGCGCTAGAATGGAAGGTCAGAGACAAAGCCAAGATACCATCTATGACAGAAAGTTTCAGATGGGGAGAAAAAAAGAGGAAGAGAACTAGGTAGCAAATAAATACTCTGGTCGCACAAGCGACAGCGGGACCCACATGCGGGTCGCCAACGCCGTTACAAACACCGCTCGCCACTCTACCAGGCGGCAGATGCGCTCAAAGGCATACCAATGGCACGCTGCCAGCGCTCAGATCTACCGGTATCGAGCTTATAACACGCAACAAGGAAGCCGGCCGTTCTCACGCTCCGGCAGCCTCGACATCACATCTGCCACATCTATGGCTCGATCAGAGCACAAACATAGCCGACTGCTTTACGACCAACTGTCACGAAAGGAGGCCCGAGTACTTGCTCAGCTGAGAACAGGTATGGAAAGACTCAACGGTTACCTGCACTGCATTGGAGCAGCACCGTTAGATCACTGCGGGCACAATGGAAGGGTAATATACCTGACACGGAGCCAAAAAGCCAAGCAATGGACAAACAGGCAATTCTATATCGCTCGATTCCTTCCTGTTTAAATACCTAGTCTATATCCGTCCGGCCGTGGATTATGTCTTGCTCTAGTTCAACGCCTGTGCCCCGTACACCTTCTCGAACTCCTTGCTGAACGGCTGGTCGATATACCCAACCGGCGACTTGGGCAGATAGAACGTATCCCTGTCATACGGGTTCAACTCGATGCCCTCCTTGATCCTAAACGGCAGGTCCGGTGTCGAGATGAAGTGTCGCCCGAACGTAGCAACCACGTCCTTCTCCGGGAACTCATGATCAACCAAATGCTTCGCCGTCTCGGCCGTAAGCCCGCCGGCGATCAGTAACGGCCCATCCCACAACCTGGCCGCAAAAGCCAAGCTCTCCTCATCCTCCCCGGGCTGAACATCCATATTCCCGGCAACTCGCGATTGTGTAAGATGCAGGTACGCCAGTCCAAACCCGCTGATCTTCCGAATCACATCCTCAAACTGCGGCACCAGATCCTTCTTCATCTTCATCCCCTGGAACGTGCTGTACGGACTGAGCCGGATGCCCGTCCTCTCGGCGCCAACAGCCTCCACCACAGCCTTGACCACCTCGAGCGCGAACCGCGACCGATTCTCGACGCTGCCACCGTATTCATCCGTCCGCTGGTTGCACGTGTCCTGAAGGAACTGATCAATCAGGTACCCGTTCGCGCCATGGATTTCGACGCCATCGAATCCAGCCTCAATTGCGTTCTTGGCCGCGCCCGCATACTCGGCCACCCGCTCCTTGATCTCGGCCACCGTCATCTCCTCGGGCACTGGAGCCCCTTCCTCCATGGGCACGGCACTCGAGCTCTTGAGCTTGAACCCCCCTTCCTTAGCCAGCACCTCGGGGTTAGCAGCCCGCCCGAGCGACCACAACTGACAGAAAATGAAGCTGCCTTTGGCGTGCACGGCGTCGGTGATCTTCTTCCAGGCGGCGATCTGCGCGGCGTTGTAAATACCCGGGACGTTGTCGTAGCCGCCTGCCGCGGGGGAGATGAAGGTTGCTTCAGTAACGAGCAGGGTGCCCGGGACGGAGGCACGTTGCGAGTAGTAGGTGGTCATGAGCGGGACGATGGGGACGTGCTCGTCGTCAGACCGGAAACGGGTCAGGGGGGCCATGGCAAGACGGTGGGCAAGGGTGATTCTGGGGGTGAGTTTGAGCGGCTGGAAGAGCCGGGACTCAGCAGCGGCGGCCATTGTGGATAGTGTTTCTACGTGGTTCCAGGGGTTGTTGACTGGGAGTTTTTAACGGCTCTATCTAGAAAAGACGGGTTGGGTATAACGAGTGAGGTTGTAATGTGTAGTGTAGTCTCTGAGAGATGAGAACACGTGTGCTTGTGGTAAGTATCTGAGAATTTTCATAGAGAGTCGTATACCAGAGATGGGTTCCCTCTATATACTCTATCGGTGTCTGCACGAAACCGGTTTGTATCATCGGTATTATAGGCTCCACCACGATTTCAAATCAACGACACATCGGCGACATTCTTCGCTTCTCTATATCCCGGTATTCCCGATCGTGGTATTCGCTACCAACGGCACAAATCGGTACAGCCAAGGCGCCAGCCAAGCCCCTAATCCGTACAGGAAACCAGGGGTATGAATATGGTAAAAATGGCTATTTGCTGTGAGGTTGATTGATAATCAGTAGAATCTCCATCCGCCTCAATGATGTGATGAACGGCAGCCTGACCTGCCTAAATGGGATAGTTGAAGGTGAAGACTATCGGAAGACGTTTGGTGAGGCCAAAAGGTTCATGACAAGTAGACTTGTCTCAGTGATGATATCAATTGACTACCACAGAACTATCTAGTGTCGAGGATTCTCGGGGTTCTTATACGTACCTTGTCCGTTTGTATGGACTGGCTTACCTCGCGCTTCTCTCTAGGAGGAGCGTCGGGGGAAATATGAAATCGGCTGAATAAGTTATAATAGCGTCAACACAACTTGGGATAGGGATCTAATGACACGCATTCTACTGCCTTATTTAGGTGTCTTTCTGGCTGTGTTTTTCATTCTACTTTCAAATAAGTTTCTGTCGCCGCGTTCAGGCCTTCTTCAGGCTCTGAGCATTTCGTCTCATAAAAAACAATACTCATCACCGGGTCGAAAATTGGTCTTTTAATACGCAAGTTATCATCAAGTGTCATTCATGGAGTAGGAGGTTGCGTGTGGAAGAGTAGTGAGTCTCGGCATCTCTAGTCAATATGCCGGTGAAGTACTATTGATATAACAAAAACCAAAAAGCAATGCCTGTATCAAGGTCGATGTTACTTACTCCAGGACAAGCACACGAACAGCTACTTTTGACGTTCTCTTTACTTTTTCTTATTTCTGATTTCCATCTATTTTAACCTTTTTGTTGTTGTTGTATCTGTACATACTCTTTGCCTTTCTGTTCCTGTTTACTGTGTTCCTTCGTGTTCTTCGACCAGATTCTTTGTTTGTAGCTCGTACTTTGTACAACACTTCTTCATCCAACTTTCATCGTGCAATGGTCCGCTTCTTGGGTCTCTGCCGCTTTATGTCCTTCATGGATGATTCTTTGCCAGGAAGCCCGTATCATCTTGAGGAGAAGATACGGGTTAGTTAAAGAAATGATGAAGCACCTGTTTCCAGCTTCAAGTAAAATGCCAGCCGCTAGCGCGCTATGAGGGACCGAGAAGATAAATCAAGTAGAAGAGGAGGAGTTCGAGCTGCTAGTAGCATTGTCAATGCTCCGAGCGGCGGCTTCGTTAGGACGAAGATTGGCGACAGCGGCGGCACTTCCAAAGATGGAAGGTGGTACGGCTATGCCGTGATGGGCAGCGGCGGCCGGAATACCTCCGGGCACCAAAGAAGTGGAAGAAATTGAGTCAGCAACGGTTGCAACAGCAGGAATACCCTCCACCACAGATACATGGGGAATGCCAGCCGCAGCCATAACTTCCCCAACCGCGGCCTTAGCCTTCTCAGCCGCAGCGCTGGCCTTCGCAGCCTTTGTAGCGGAAGCTTTGACTTCTGCAACCTCAGCCGCCTCGCGCTCGTATGACTCCTTCAGAGTTTGGTGTCTCGCCCACCTCCACTCAAGCTCGAACATCGAGTACTCCGGATCGCGGGCGATTCCCGGGCTGAGGTGGCGGTCGGGTGTCCGTGGAATGTGACCCAGCTCGAGTTGCTTGATGCGATACTCGTCGCTTTGTCTGTAGTTGTAGATTCGCAAGACCTTCCTCTTTTCGAGGGTGATGGTTTCCGGGGTTGGGGTCATTGCCGTCTTGTTGTTCTTGTCGTTCGTGATCTCTTTCTCTTCCCCCCCTTTGTTGTTTGATCCGTTGCCGTCCTCTTTGGCGGCTGGTTTGACTGCTTCAACCTGTTTCTTGATCCTGACAAAGACCTTGCCGCTATCCGCATGGCCATAGCCGTATCTGTCCTTGGCTCTGCAGATGCCAATCTCCTCAAGGTGAGGGATGCGATCAAAGTAAAGATTTGCGACGGTCGTATCATCGTCATAGACCTGCGAAAAGTCAGGTGGAGGTCTAGAGGCGTGCCTGAGCATGGTGAACTTCCTGATGTTGTTGTGAGCCCTGAGGGCTTCGATCATGTTGGTCTAAACAAGTTAGATATCTGTGAAAAGATGGCTACCCATGATGGCAGAAAGGGGCTAGATTGTGTGATGCTTACATCTTCAGCCTGGCAATGAGGCTCGCTGAACTCCCAAAACAGATGCTTAAGTTGAGAGAGACTCTCTACAGCGTCTAGTCATAACATCGATGTCAGCAAGGGACAGGCTAAGGATTGCTTTCTGTGCATATAAGCTGGGATTATGGTATGGGCATCAATAACTTACACTGAGGTGTTCGATGTTGACGACTTATTCTGATGCCTCTTGTTCCCAGAAAACAAGCTGTCTCGATAAACTGCGAGCTCTGGAGCGATTTGAAAACTTCATTGTCCGGACGGTCCCATACGCCTGTGGAACGGCTCCTCAAAACACGCAGATTGGGGAAGGAGCGGATGAGGGTTCCCATGAGAGGAGCAAGAGAGTCCAGCGTGATGCTCCTAACGGTAGGAAGGGTGCGATTCTTGAAAGCATTTCTCAGCGTGTCGTATTTCTTCGACGAAGAAATTTCAAGTGAGACAAGATTGACCATGCCTGCGATGACTGTACGGACACAATCGAGGCGGCCAGCTTCTCCCCAACCATTCCACTTGTTTGGGCGGCTCACGTAAGCACGACCATTTGGAGGGGGGCTAATAATCAAATGTCTGTAGATATAGGAAGTTGATTAGCACTTTGATATCTCTTCATATACCATGGAAAAAGCGAGGGTAATTGGGAGTTGAGTTGGGAGTATGGGATCACGTACTTCACTCTTGAGATAATCCCGCAATTGCGGTTGGCCTCGGAGAGCCGCGTGAAATCATCTTTCAAAAACTCATCAAACTCTGTCCAAATTTGCAGGTAATCGTGCGCCCCAAAGGCAACGCAAAGATCCCGAAATCGCTTGCATGTCTGAGAAAGACCGTGAAGCTTCTCGTCGGTCAAAGAACCGGCACAACGTTTTCCCTCGTGTTGCGCATGAGCGTATGCATGACCGTCTGGCTGGCCCTGCTGCTGACCTTCTATTTGGGCGGAAAGAGGGAACTTTGGCGGAGAATAATGCCACTCGTGAACACCGCCCATGACATACGACACAATCATGTTGAGGATTTCGCTGGGAAGGTTGGTGATCAAGACCTTCTTGGTCGAGTGAATCGCCGGGGGACCGGCGGGTCTTATCGAGGCTTCAAGGCCGTCGACGTGACGGGTCAGGTCATTGATCTGTTGCCTCTGTTGCGCGATCCACTGCTGACAACCAGGACACGGACAGCCTTCCTCAAAGAACATCGGGCCCATGTCAACGGGGACGACTGGCAATGGCTGAAATACCATGTGGCCCACGGTATTGGGGATGACAAGCAGTGGCTGATCTACCATTGGCTGACCCACACCAGACAATACATTGTCTTGCCGAAGAGTCGCAGAGGCAGGAGTCGAAATGTCCGGCTCAGCCTTGAAAGCCATATGGTCTTGAACGCCCGACGACGCTAAAGCAGGATCACGGCTGGCCATAGAGTTGCTTGGTGGGAGGCTTGCCTGAAGTTGGCTGGAAGCCGAAGTTTGCTGATTCTGACCAGTGCCCTGGCTCGGAGTAGAAACGATGAGGTTGTTCTCTGCGCCCCTCTGTATCATAGGAGTGCGCAAGGAATAATTATTGGGCGAGGTTGGACTCGAAGCGAGTCTAGCCACAAGGAGGGGCATTTTGAAGTGTCGCTACCTTAGCAAAACGGCGCTGAAGTTGCAAAGCGAAGGGGTTGTTTGTTGTGTTAACCGAGTTACTTGAACAAAAGGAGAATGCGAAAAAACAGATCTGGGTTGAAAAAGAAAAGAGTTGGATATTAATAGTTCGAGTGAAATGAAAATTAGTCAACGTGTTCGTGAATAGGTTAAGGTCCCTCTACAACCTGGTGCTGTATCCGCCTACTCTTCAGGTTCGTTGTTGTATCTTGCCACAAGGTTGAGGAGAATCCTGTGAAGTGACACAGAGCAGGATACTGCTAGACAGTGAGCTCATGTTCTCAACGAGAACCTGAGCATATTGATTTGAGTGATTTGCAACCTCTTCGGATAAAGTGTGAATGGGATCGATAGCAAGAGCACAGTGTATCTAGAATATGAAGTCTTTGACGGGACAGTCGGCATTTGCCTGATCCGAACTGCCAGACATCAACTTAGGCAAGAAAGGTATCATCTGAATGACTTCAATGGTCGAATCGAGGAGAGAGAGAAATTTCAAAAACCAGTGACTGTACCGCAGTGCAGTGCTGTGATGATTCTGAACCGTTATAGCGAAGCAAGCAGCTGCCACCCCTTGGTACCGCCTGTATATCAGGGTCATCCGTTGTGTTCACGCACACCCCCCTTCCTGTTTTTTTTCTTTTTTTTTTTTTTCTTCACAGTACAAGGGCCTAGACTCAAACATACTTGATGCCAGCGCAAAACCTGCGCAAGATATCAATGTGGTTGAACCAGCAGAAACCAAAGTGGGGGAAGGTTTTTGAATTCGGAATGTAAAGGGTTTGGATTCCGAATTGAGGCACAGGGGGTAGAAAGAGCCTTGATCCGAACAAGTGGAATTGTTCATTATGTTTGGACGTCCTAGAGAATTATCAGTAACATGAACATGTGGCATGGAAGAGTTTGCGGAAATCTTCCAGCATAGAAACAGCGCTCACCGATCGAATATGCCCGCTTGTTAAATGACCATGAGGATGCTGCCATTGCCAATGGAGCGTCTTCTCAGGTAACCAGCGCCTTGTAGGCATCGCATGATTGACGACCAGATTCCAGGTATCAAGAGAACAGTGGTACAGCCCACCAGGCTCCAAGCACGACTAGCAAGGCCAATACCATGAGCGGTATGTCGATTGTAAGCTTGAGTCGAATCCACCTCTTTACTCTGTTTCTTAGCTTCCTGCGATGTACGCACGTTGAGGTGCTGTATACCAGACACCCAAGGCCGGGGCGGGCTTCACACTCATTGTGCTCTCTCCAACGCTGCATAAGAAGTCTAGAGGTACTGTGGATCAGTGCTTATTCACCGGCAAGAAGTAAAGTAAAGAAGCTTGGGATAACACTGTGGTAAAGTAGAAGGAAAAACAAACTCACTTTACACTGCCTCGGCAAAACCTCACGTCGCTACCAAGGTCACAACTCCTGTGATTGGGGCAACCCAAGTGCAACCTACGACATTGGACAAGCCACTCGACCTTCTTACGCACACCGGTGTCCACGAGATTGTAAAGGTATCTGTTGACGTGTTTCATGGATAGGGCATCGGGGTAAATGAGTTGTTCGGTAATGAGGAGATGGATCTCGGCTGGCAGCTCCATGAATGATGGCTTTCGAGCAGCGGGAGAAGTCAAGCCAACATGGACGTCTGTATAGGGTTTGCGTTCCAAGCTCGCGTGTTCGGAAAACTTTGTGAGGAGCTCCGTGTTCGAGGCCGACTGACCATCGGGCGTCGTTGAGTTGAGTGGGTCGGAGCCCGGGATTTGTGGGGCCAGATACGGAGGTGCGGGTCCGCACTTATATCGACGAGTAGGTGATGCCATAGCAATCTACCTCAAATGTACTCCGCGTAAGGTATGAGAAGAAAACAGGGAGAGAATTGGGTTGAGACGGAATGCAGACCGGACTGTGATGGAGGTCAAACAAGTGTGCGTCGATGTTGATACAGACTGGGAGAGTGTGCGCGCATTGAGAAGATGAGGTTCAACACGACGTTCGAGCGAGGGTGCAGGTTCAGTAATCTTTTCGAAAACCAAGACTATACAGGACACTTTGCTGGAAACATCAATGAAAACTAATCAGATCGCCCGATGGACCACAGGGATGATGCGTCATTCTAGCAGACGAGTGGTGTGAAGATTAGAAAAAAGCTGGAGCCTGGCCGTTGTGGTGTATCAACACCACGCGGGATGAACACTAGGCCAACCATGCTGCCCCTGAGTCTCTGAGGAGTGGAGATCATTTGTACCTTTTAGAAGGCAACCGAGAATCGCAAGACTTTTGTCCAAGCGAGGGATTGGTTAATCAGAAGCTGGGTGTGACCTGGAAACGCGGCGTTGCCCCTGGAGGCTGAATTGACCGACCAACAAACTCCGACAACAGGCAACAGAAATAATCGCCAATCGCCATTACACTTGCTGTAGCGGAATACGAAACACCCCAAACAAGCAGGACAGGGGCATGATGGATCCAAGATGGCTGACGACAGTTGTTGGTCGAACAAGTAGAGACAAACGAAATTCCAGGAAGCCAACCAAAGCAAGTCATCAGGAGAAATTGCTAGTGAAGGTGATAAGAGGCCGTCAAGGTAAAGCAACAGCGAATTGAAGTGTTGGGGAGTGTGTAGTGCTGGGACTTGGTGTGCTTGCCCCATGCCGTCTGTGCCAAGCATGTCCCGCTTATCACGTGATCTCGTGCCACCGGCCGGCAATTGGCGTTGCTGGAAAGGCGGGGCAGCCGGGAACAAGTCGCGCCCACCCAGCGATAGGTACCTACTATGACGTCCTCTGTTTGGGCACCGTGAAAGCCTCCCGATGTTCATATACCCTCCGCGCCCGACTCTCCTACTGAGAACCTCATCACATTCTTGTGGTTTGCTTCAAATTGCTTGCACGTAAAGATGCACTAGATGCCCTTGAGAGTATGGCGAGGCCTGCGCCCAGATACTACAGCGACAGCGACACAGATGGTACTAGCTCGCACGATTATGGATACAACTTGACGGCCGAGGAGGAGGAGGAAATCTCCGCCCTCATCGACTCCATCTCGCCACCGACACCACCGATCCCCGGACCAGGCACACGCACCCTGCCTCAAAATACCACTGCGACTACCTTCGGCTCTTCCGCTTCTCCTCGCTCTCCCTCCAAGTATTCTACCACCGTGGTCGCTGATCCTGCCTTCGTCGACTTCTTGGCTGAGGACGAGGACGAAGTATCTGATCCATCCTTCGACATCCGGTCCATCGATAACGCAGTCCACCGTCACGTCGCCAAACCAGATCCAAGTGAGCGCGCGTGTATCATCCCGTCTCCAGATGTTCCATCATCAGACAGCAAGTCGCGCCTGGCGCCTTCTGTCCGCGACGACAACCCTCGGCTTGCAACGTTTGTCGCCGATTCTAACGCAAAGCCGGTACATTCTGACCCCACTGACTCGGACGTACACTACCCGGATTGTAAGCTCCTCGCACCATCTGCTTGCCAGCCGCTTGTGAAGAACGTCCACTAACAGACATATTGAGCGACTAGTAAGCAATGCGCTCTCGGGCTTACAACAGCAAGAGCCGTCAGGGTCCCCATCCAACACGCCTGCTAGTAAGGCTGGGACTCCTAGGAAGAGGGGCCGACCAAAACGATCGGCCGAGGAAAAAAGCCTCTTGATTGAAGACAATCGGTCGCCTATCCTTCGTTTCCGAACATTTCCCAAGAAGCCCTTTTCCGTCAGTGATCTTACCTCCGGCGCCTGGTGTGAGCTGCAGTACTTCTTTGTGTTAAGTAAGCTCCCAGGCGGGAAGAAGACGCGAACGCAAGCAATGAAGGGAGGCACCTCGATCCACGAGAAACTGGAGCGTGAGATTTACACTCCGGTATCCGTGGAAATCACCAAGCCCGAAGACAATTTTGGTCTCAAAATCTGGAACATCATCACGGGCCTGCGCACTCTGCGCGACACCGGCTTGACCCGTGAGCTAGAGGTATGGGGCATTCTCGACGACGGCCTCGTCGTCAACGGCGTCATTGACGGACTGAGCTACGACAACCCGGACCCAACCCTCGAGGAAGAAGTTCTCAGCAGTCGATCCAGCCAAGTGACCGACAAGCCGCTGTCGCAGCAACAACAGCACGAAATTACGGATTTCTTCCCGCCCGAAGTCGCCGACAAGCGCGAGATCTTCATCACGGATGTCAAAACGAGAGGATCCAAGAAGCCGCCAACAAAAGCCGCCATGCGCGTCACCATCATCCAGCTGTTCCTCTACCACCGCTTTCTTTCTGAGATGGCCTCAGGCAAACTTAACTACTGGCGCATCTTCGAGAGGTACGGCATAGACCCTGATGAACCCTTCTCCGACACCTTCATGGCGCAAATGGGCGCTCTTCACGAGGAAGTCTTCTCTGACACCACATCAGACGGTGCCGGACTCGATTACGTCAGCGCTGTGTCCACCACCTCAGACGGAGCCTCTGAAACGGTCTCACGCGATGACGACCTAGAATCGACCGTCTCCTCTACCAACGCCTTCGACTCTCTTAGATACCGCACCCTCCGCGACCTAGTCTCCCTCCTCAAATTCGAGCTTCAACTCACCTTTCCCCGCGGCGGCGCCAGCCTGGGCCAGATCGTGGCGGTGGAGTTTCGCTACCGGTCTCCTCGTCCAAGAGAAAACAAGGAAGAAGAAGAAGAAGAAGAAGAAGAAGAAAACCCAGAAAACGGGTCGGTCATCTGCGTCAACTCGTTCTACGTCGAGCCTGAGACGCTCGACATGTACCTCCAGGACGACCTGCAGTGGTGGAAGGGCGAGCGGGACCCAAGGGGTGTCCCGGTGGAGGAGTCGTACAAATGCCAGACGTGCGAGTTCGCGGGCGAGTGTGATTGGCGCATGAGGCTGGAGCAGGAGACGATGAGGATGGCGAAGAAGAAGAGTTTGGCGAGGAACAAGAATAAGGGACCGTCGGTTTCATGGTGAATCGTTGAGGAGTTTCAAAAGTATTCGGAGATATGATGACGATGACCTTTCTAATTTGTCTTTGTGTGTTCTGTTTGCGCGTGATACCCATGCTTTGAATAGCTCTTTGGGTTATGGGTGAACTTGGATAGTTCGGAACAAAAAAAGGGGGAGGGAATCGAGGCGTCAGGGTCAGGGTTTGGGCAATCTTCCGATATCTTTCTTCACAACGACAAATGCGATGGCACTTTGTTTCGGGACCAAGAATTGGCCTTCATGTACATTTCACATCTTACTTTCCCTCCAGTAGTTCATGAACTTTTCTCTGTTTTTTATGCTCGCGCAAAGGCCCTAAGGAATAAAATATGGCAACAAATAATATCCGCGGCGCCTACGCTTTCTTATGAGATCCACAACAAACTCCAGCGCTGCCTGCATATTTCATCAAAAGCTTCCATGATAACATCAACAGAGAGCGCGAACCATCGCCCACTTTCCCATAACTTTTCCATCCGTTTCTATAAAAAAAAAGAACAACTTAGTAAGAGCGGCCGAACATGCACCACTGCTCGGCAAGACGAGAGCACTCGGGGTTCAAGCACTTGGTCTCGCCCTTGACCAGACCCTCGGGCTGCTCAAAGGGAATGCAGAGAGACTTCATGCCCATAGACGGGGCCTTCTGGGACTCGGGGCCCTCAGCAGCCTCGTCAGAGCGGCCAGTGGTGAGCTCCTTGATCTTGTCCTCGCATTCGGGGACAAGGCAGTGGGGGATGAGAACGACGTTCTTGGCGTCGAGAGCAGGGACAACGTCATCCCACTTCTCGATCTTGAGGCGGTGCTCGCGGAAGGAAACTTCGGCCTTGTTGTACATATCCTGCTGGATGGTCTCGAGGAGCTCGGGAACCTTGGTGGTGAGCTCGGCGATGGGGATAGTGCCCTTCTCGCCGGTGTCGCGGCGGGCGTAGCTGACGACGTCCTTGGCGGCATCCTTGGGACCGAACTCAATACGGAGGGGAACACCCTTGAGCTCCCAGTCGTTGAACTTCCAGGCGGGGGTGTAGCCCTCGCGGGTGTCCACGTCGGCGCGGACGCCAGCCTTCTTGAGGGTGGCGAGGAGCTCGTCAACCTTCTTCATGTGCGCGTCCTTCTCCTCGGCGGACATCTTGGCGGTGAGGCCGACGGGGATGAGGATGGACTGGATCTTGGCGATACGGGGAGGGAGGACCAGACCCTTGTCGTCACCGTGGATCATGACCATGACACCGATGACACGGGTCGAGAGACCCCACGAGTTCTGCCAGACGTGGATGTGCTTGCCCTTCTCGGCGGGATCCTCGACGGTAATGTCGAACATTTTGGAGAAGTTCTGGCCCAGGCAGTGAGAGGTGGCACCCTGGATACCACGGCCGTTGGAGGGAATGTAGCCCTCGACGGTGGTGGTGTAGTAACCACCGGCGAACTTCTCGGCTTCGGTCTTGCGGCCACGGACGACGGGGACGGCGAGGAGCTGCTCGTAAACACCGGCGTAGAACTCGAGGATCTGGAGAACCTCCTCACCGGCGGCCTGCTCAGTAAGGTGGGCGGTGTGACCCTCCTGCCACATGAACTCACGGGCACGGAGGAAGGGAGTGGTCTGCTTGGCCTCCCAACGGACGACCGAGTTCCACTGGTTCAAGCGGAAGGGAAGATCGCGATGGCTGCGGATCCACTTGGCGTAGTCTGGTTTCCCTGCGGTCAGAATAACGGGTAGATGAACATGCAGGCCAGACTCTTATGACTTACAGGGGTACATGACAGCCTCGGAGGTAGGACGGACAGCCACGGGGACCTCGAGGTCCTTATCGCCAGCCTTGGTAACCCAAGCCAACTCAGGGGCGAAACCTTCAACGTGCTCCTTCTCCTTCTCGAGCGACTTCTGCGACAAGAACATGGGGAAGTTGGTCTCCTCAACGCCGAGCTCGTCAATGTGCTCCTGGAACCACTTGCGGATGACGTTCCAGATGTACATGGTGGCAGGGCGCATGATGAAGAAGCCCGAGATCTCGGTGTAGTACTCGATCAACTCGGCCTTGAGGACGACCTCCTGGTACCATTGCGAGAAGTTCTCCGACTTCTTGACCGTGATGCCGATGATGTCGTCCGCCTTCTTGCCGCCGACGACGGGGAGGGTGGCTTGCTTGGCGGCCTTCTCAGCCTTCTTAGCAGCCATCTGGGCGGCCTTCTCGGCCTTCTTCAAGGCGCTCTTGGACTGGTCCTTGTTCTCCTCCATTGCTGCGCAAAACGATGGCTATCAGTTCTCGGGTTCAGTGTGTCGCGTATGTGGAATTGACGGCGGATGGAGAGGAGGAACGGGTCGCTATATGTGTATATGTATGCCCAACATGGCACTGACTCACCGGCGGCAACTGAGTCAACTCGGGGGGCGGGACTGGGCTGGCTTAGATGATGTCTGGGAGTAAGGTGATGGAATGCGCCGAACACTGGACGAGACAGGAAACAGCACTGCGCAATGGGCACAGACTCTCTTCAGGCACACAAGCGGGAGACGGGCTTCACATTCAGCGCACACAGTTTTGGAGATGCCCCGCATTCGAGACTGGGACGGAACCCGCAGCATGGACACGCGCCAGCGATGCTCGGGCCCTGTCAAACGATCCCAGGGCCCTCGAGGGGCACTTCCGCTTGAGGTGGTGGGGTTTCTGGAGTCTGGATTCCCGCTCTGGAGCTGGAGGTCAACAGCTGCCAGGCAAGAGAAGGACCCTGGGGGCAGCTATTGACAGCTGGTTCCTTATCGGTGCAAAGCGATAACATTTTTTTGATGCCAGCGCGGTCGCGCGGTCGAGGTCATCGGGCAATGTGGGCGGTGGGGCAGGGACGTGCTGAAGCTGCCCGCCTCCAGCTGTGTGGGCTTTGCCTGCCAGCACCTCAGCGCCTGAAGTTCAGAACAGAGAGGGGCCCGGCGGTCGGGCGAAGCTCTGAGAATCGAGATTGCTCGGATTCCACATTTGGCGTGCTGTTGCTGCTGGAGCTTCCATCCCGCCTTTCACAGTTAACCATTGACCGTTGTACGAACCTACCCACCTTCCTGACCTAAACCCAGCTTTTCGATCGTCTGTTTCCCCTCGCCCCTCGACGACGACGACGACGACGACGACGGCCGTAATCCATTCGCATTCCACACTCATCTAACCATGGCTTCCATGTTCGCCCAGTCGGGCAGCGGCACCCTTTTCCTCGGCGGCCAAAAGATTTCCGGTGCTGATATCAGAGACCAGAATGGCAAGTCTCACCTGCCCCTGAGCCTCCAGTAGTCACGGTTCCCACCATCAAGCAATGTTTGGGATAGCATCAAGGTCTGGTCGCTAACCCATGATGGTTGCGTATAGTCATCGCCACACAAGCTATCGCAAACGTCGTCAAGAGCTCCTTCGGCCCCAGCGGTCTCGACAAGATGATGGTCGATGACATTGGTGTAAGTTGCTTCTCCCTCGCCCCTATCGCCAAAAGCTGAGTGAACCCCGCCATGCCTAACACCGTTTGCGCAGGATGTTACGGTTACAAACGATGGCGCTACTATCCTCAGCTTGCTCGACGTTGAGCACCCCGCCGGCAAGATCCTCGTCGACCTTGCGCACCAACAAGATAAGGAGGTTGGCGATGGCACAACATCAGTCGTCCTGATCGCGGCCGAGCTGCTCAAGAGAGGAAACGACTTGATGAAGAACCGGATACACCCCACAACCATCATCACCGGCTACCGTCTGGCTCTCAGGGAGGCGGTCAAGTACATGAAAGAGCACATCAGCATCAAGGTCGAGAACCTCGGTCGCGAGTCCCTCCTCAGCATCGCCAAGACCTCCATGTCCAGCAAGATCATCGGCGCCGATTCCGACTTCTTCGCCAACATGGTTGTTGACGCCATCCAGGCCGTCAAGACCACCAACAACAAGAACGAGACCAAGTACCCCGTCAAGGCGGTCAACATTCTCAAGGCCCACGGCAAGGGCGTTACCGAGTCGATGCTCATCAAGGGCTATGCCCTCAACTGCACTGTCGCCTCCCAGGCTATGACCACCCGTGTGACAGACGCCAAGATTGCTTGCTTGGATATCAACCTTCAGAAGGAGAGGATGAAGCTTGGTGTTCAGATTACAGTCGATGATCCCCAGCAGCTCGAGGCCATTCGCGCGCGTGAGTCCGGCATGATCATTGAGCGCGTCGAGATGATTCTCAAGGCGGGCGCAAACGTCATTCTGACGACAAAGGGTATTGATGACATGGTTCTCAAGCTTTTCGTTGAAAAGGGCGCTATGGCTGTGCGCCGCTGCAAGAAGGAGGATCTTCGTCGCATCGCCCGTGCCACCGGCGCCACCCTCCTCAGCACTCTTTCCGATCTCAACGGCGACGAGAAGTTCGAGCCCTCTTACCTCGGTCACGCCGAGGAGGTTGTGCAGGAGCGCATTTCCGACGACGAGTGCATCTTGATCAAGGGTACCAAGGTTCACTCTTCGGCTTCCATCATTCTCCGTGGCCCCAACGACTTCACCCTCGACGAGATGGAGCGCTCGGTTCACGACAGCTTGTGCGCCGTTAAGCGTACTTTGGAGAGCGGCAGCATTGTGCCCGGTGGTGGCGCGGTCGAGACGGCTCTGCACATTTACCTGGAGGAGTACGCCGGTACTGTCGGTTCCAGGGAGCAGCTCGCCATTGGTGAGTTTGCCCAATCGCTACTCGTTATTCCCAAGACCTTGGCCGTCAACGCCGCCAAGGACGCCTCCGAGCTTGTCGCCCAACTACGATCGAGGCACGCTCTGTCGCAGCGCATCCAAGAGGGTGAGGCGAACGAGGACGAGAAGATCGTTGCCCGTAAGAAGGCCTACAAGAACTACGGTCTTGACCTGATGAAGGGCAAGGTTGTGGACGAGATCAAGGCCGGCGTTATGGAGCCCAGCATGAGCAAGATCACGCAACTGAAGAGTGCGGTAGAAGCATGCATCAGCATCATGCGTATCGATACCCTCATCAAACTCGACCCTGAACAGAGGCCCGAGGATGATGGACACGACCACTAAAGGGGTTGTTGAGATTTGTTAGATGTTGCCATGTAGTTTGGGAGTACATAATGTATAGAAACTCTGGAAACTACCCAGCATGGTATCAAGTCTGTGTACGTCATCTGCTTTTCCCTGTCATGATTCACTTGCGTTGCGCGGTTACGCAAGGCGAGCTGTCCCTGGCATCCTAAACATCACTGACTGGGGGAGTGCATTTCAACCCTAACCCTGCTCAGGGGTAAACCGAGTTCAATGTCAAACTTGCATGATTATTCGACCTTAACCCAACTACACTTCATCTCCCCCCCTTTAACCTTGGTTCTCTTTTTCTCTTTTCTTTCCCCCTCTGACGACCGTACTTGAGAAGTCAGGAAGTAGTTTCTTCACTGTGCATTCATATTAAATATCCTCGGAACATCTCCGACAAACCCATTCCCAGCCCGCTACCCGTGTCCGTTTTCTCCCTCGTACAATCCATCGCTCCCATGGATTCACGACTGCTTGTAGCGCCGACAGTGACACGGTGAGGCTCACCGCTTCGAGCCCGATGAATGATCACAAACTCCGAGTTGATAATGTCTCGTCATCACTACACGGGTTTGGATCTTACCTCAGCTACGCCTTAGTTGAAAGAGTGTCGATCAGTGGACTCCACCAAAGCATCGAGACTATATCTACATTCCGAATAGGAGATAGAAAGAGCATCACTTTTGCTGTGATCGTTAAAAACGCCCTATGAGCGGGTCCCCAGAGACAGCTTTACAAGTAGGCAGACAAAAACTGCTGCCCATGTTAGTTGTCAAAGCCTTTCAACCACTTGCACGTGTAGGCGTCGACGCTCAAGGCCATGATATCACCTGAATCCTCCTCGTAGCACGGTGAAACTAATCCTTCGGCTTGACCATCATGTCTATACGTCACGAAATGTCTGTTGAACTCTTTGATAGAAGATGGTAGAACAGGAGGATGCACGGTATCTCCAGGTACACATGCTCTTATGCTGGACACAGGTGACGATAAGTCTATATTAACCGCCCGTTGTTTTCCATTGAAGGCAGTCTGTTCTCGTCACCATCTCAAGCAAAAAGCACATCAGACGTTCAAAACCATAACGCAGCGTACCAGTTCCATTCACACCAACAACTTCAACACAATTCCTCCTAGGCACCCGCAACAATGAAGCTCGCCATCATCCTCACTTTCGTCGCCACCGCTCTCGCCTTCACCAGGCCCAAGGCGAACGAATACAAGAACTCCGACTGGTAAGTACCTATCTATCTTACTTACCTACCCTACCTCCTTCCCAACCTTCACCTATAAGTCGAACTGCACCTGAAAATCAGAGATGGAAAGTTATCCTAAAGACCCGTCACTAACTCGGCGTACAGCTCCGACCTAAACTACGGCCACAACTCCTTCTTCCTCGAGGACGTGACCATGGACGATACCACCAAGTCGGTCTACCTCACCGATGGTAGTACACTCGAGGGCATGCCTAAGGGCTGGTTTGGCTACTCGGACAAGACCGGCGACGGAGGCAAGTGCTCGGGCGAGAAACTGGGTCGGTTGCCGGAGAAGTGTGTCAATATTGACACTCTTGCTTCTGAGAGGATTAAGTGCGTTCGGTCTGAGGTCCTCTAGGTGAGCGAAAGTACATGATGGGATTACCTGGGAGGGAAATGGCATGCCGTGTCAGATTCGTTCGAAGGTAGTGGAAATAATGAGCATGTATGAATAAATGGGTAGCATTTAGGAAATCGTACGAATGAGGGCCGCGAACTCTGTCTCCGCTCTGTTGCTACATGTTCCACTTTGGAGCCGTTGACATGTGAACCGTTCCATGTTGGGGACTCAACTTCGAAAGTGCCCACCAACATCATTTTCTGCTGTGTTTGATACATTCTTCGAGAATGCCAACACAGAGGTTGGGTGGGCCCAATCGGAGTACGTCGCATTGCATATTGCTGATATCGCCCAATAAGAGGTTTTATCCTTTACCCGGGATGCATTATGACTATCCTGTGGGCTGGCCAGAGTCCTTGACTCGTTATCGTCATGATATGGATATATTGTGGAATCACCGATCCACCTTCAACATAACACCGACCATCGTCAAAACAAAAAATCGATGAACATCACGGCTACCCACCCACGGACTTGATCTCCTTGACTCCCACAGATTCGCATGGGAAAGTGCTTTTTCACACGCTAAATTCTCTGCACACCGTAGTTCTTTCCTCCATTTGCCAGCGGTCTGTGTGTGGAGTTCCTTCGGTGATTTTACCCATCACTTAGTCTTGAATCTGGACCTGCCTGGGCCCATCCAGGGCTAGTTCTTATTCGAAACGGCTTGCATATATCAGATTTGACTTTTACTCTCTTCTTGAGCATCTGTACTACTATTTCATCATTGTCCCACTGGCTTTGCCTTTCTTTTTAAATTTTTTTTTTTTAATAAAACACGGAAGTTCAACAGCCGTAATTCACAATGTCTGGCCACTTCGACACCAACCCACCACAATCCCCAAATCTCGATTCCGACGCCATTGAACTCGTCCAAATCGGCCAACAACATGCGTCTTTCGCCGGGCACGAGTCAGACCCAGAAACCCTGCGTGCAGCCGGCGGCACTCCTCCTCCGGAGGGCATCGACCCGGCCACCATTGCCTTGGTAGAAGACGTCCCTCCAGATGGCGGGTACGGATGGGTGATTGTGGGGGCAGTTTTTCTTATCAACGTCAACACCTGGGGCATCAACAGCGCCTGGGGAATTTTCATGGAGCAGTATATCCGCGAGAACACCTTTCCGGAAGCCAGCCATTTTGAGTACGCCCTCGTCGGAGGTTTGTCTGTCTCGCTGGCTCTGATCTTGGGACCAATTATTAGTGCTATCCAGAAAACGTTGGGTACCAGGTATACGATGGTACTGGGTTCTTTGATGATCTTTGCTGGACTATTTTCTGCGTCGGCGGCTAGTCGGGTATGGCATCTTTTCATGAGCGTGGGGCTTTGTATGGGATTTGGGTTTGGGCTGCTTTATATCCCGGTGAGTTGCCGTTCCTCTATGGATATGTTGAAAAAAAAAAAAAGGAAAAAAAAACTGGGTGAGTGGCTTACAATGAACACAAACAGGCAATGGGACTCCTCCCCCCATGGTTTTCACGCCACCGAAGCCTGGCTCTCGGTCTTGCAACGGCGGGAGCAGGCGGTGGCATCGCATGGAACCTCATCACTGGCAAACTCCTTGCCGTTTCGGGATTGAAATGGACCTGGCGGATTCTTGCCCTTGTCTCCATTGCTTTCAACATCATTTGCGCCTTCCTCTGCCGCGAGCGGCCTATCAGCTCTTCCACGGGGTCGTCGAAACGCCGATCCTTCAACATCCGTGATTTTGGCAGGACCCAGGTCCTTCTTATTCTCCTGTGGGGTTTCATAACCGAATTCGGCTACGTCTCCCTCTGGTACTCTCTTCCGAGCTATGCAACCAGTATCGGCCTCACTCCATCCCAAGGATCCGTGGTAAATGCCATGTTGAGTTTGGGAGTGGGCGTTGGGCGCCCGCTTGTTGGGTAAGTGAGCTCTCTAACTAACACTGCCTCGCTTATCTGTTGCTCCTCCAGCGTCAATTTCCGGCAGTATGCTAATTTTCCTATCACCTAACTAGCGCCCTCAGCGACCGCTTCGGCCGTATCAACCTCGCCCTCTTCTGCTGCTCTTCATGCGCCATCCTCTGCCTAACCCTCTGGATTCTCGCCCGCTCGTACGCCGGCTTGATCATCTTTGCCTTAGCCGCAGGCGCTGGAGGTGGTTGTTTCTGGTCCACGGTGAATCCGATCCTGGCGGAAACCGTCAGTCTCGCCGAAAGCAGTGCCATTTTTGGCACTATCTGCTTCGCCTTGGTAATTCCTACCACTTTTGGAGAAGCCATTGCGCTGCAGCTTGTCAAGGGCGGAGACGGCATAAACAAGTTCATTCCGAGCCAAATCTTTGTCGGTTGTACGTTCCTGGGGGGCACCGCTTTACTCATGCTCCTTCGAAGCTGGCAGATTTGCGAGATTGAGAGGAAAAACGAGGGCATGGGGAGTAATCAAAATGGGGAGGGCCACAAGAGGTCTGGAGAAGAAAGCCGAACGGAGGAGGATTTGGAGGAAGGGGTTATGGCTTCGGGAAGAAGCGCTGGGGTGGCGGTGTTGGGCGAGTTGAGGAGCTCGGCTGCTGGGATGTGGTCTCCGAGAAAACTATTTGTTGCGAGGAGGGTGTAGCGATGGGTGGCATGTCACGGTAAAAAGCGTTTGTTTCACTCGGGTTTGGGACTGTGTTCAGCGAAACCATGTGTTTATTTAGATCTAAAAGCACTAATTAACTCTTTGATGATAGTATCTCAAGCCAGGCGAATACTTGTGTTTGAACTCGCTTATGTGCTTATAAACACCAGTTATAATTGGTTCTGCGCCTCAAATGCTTCCCTAACATAGGTAAATGACGGCAGTCGAACCGTGCTGGAAGCGCCGTGAGCAAAACAACGGGCAACAACCAGTAGTCAGGGGGTAGCAAAGGCGAAAAGTATGTACGGCTCAAAGCCCTTCGAAGTGCATCCCAGTCTTCGCAAAACCTGTCCTGATCGTGCTTTCCTTGAACACGGTCGTAAAGAAGAAATGTTGCTGTTCGTAGATGACGGAAAGAGAAAGTTGCTCCATAGAAAAAGAGCCACCGAACAAAGCAGAAGAAAATTGCAAGTGACTGTCAAGTTCTGAAAGAAAGCGACAGCTTCAACCTTCAGTAACCTCTCACCAATCACTATCATCGCTGTCACTGCTAGAGTCGGAGTCGAAGTCATTGCCAGACTCGCCCTCGCAGGTATGATGAACTCGAGAGCTGCCCTCGCCACCGTTCGTTGCATCTTGGCCTTCATCACCCTTGTCACTCTCGTCATCCTCATAATCACTCTCGATTACGAGAGTACCGTCGGTTCGTCTTCTCGTCCGTCCGAAAAGAGATCCTACCTCCTCGTCCGTGAGCTTATGCTTGGTGTTATCATTCGTCTGGATAGCCTTGCTGATGGCTTTCAGCTTGTCCTCTTGTAAGTCGATAATCCGCTTGTCGATGGTATTCTTTGCTAGGATCCGCGTGAACCAGCTTTCTTTCTTCTGCCCACTGCATTGATGTTAGCAACCATGACATATCACCTGATTCTACCAGATAAGACTTCATTCGCGGCTGAACTGTAACTTACAACCTGAACACACGACCAAATGCTTGTTTTTCTTCACATCATTATTAGTATCATAATGTCAGATGAACCTTCGGAGGTGCATAAAACATACCCATCCCATTGTTCCACCAGGCATCCAGTATAACTACGCGATTTGCGGCTGCCAAATTGAGAGATTGTCCTCCGACTCGCAAAGACGACACCTGGACGGGACCTTGGTCAGTATCAGGAAACGGAGAGACCTCATGATGTACGAGAAAGGTCAACCTATTCTGAGACATGAATTCTTACCAGAACTTTGATCCTTGGATTCGTCTGAAAGGCTTTGATCTGATCCTCACGGACGGTTGGACCCATTCCGCCAAAGAGGTAAAGGAAATCAATCTTCTCCTGTTGCAGCACACGGCCCAAAATTCTACCCAGCAGAATCCAGTGAGTAAAGACGATAATCTTGTCATCAGGCGCATCTTTCTGCCATTCAAGAATGATGTCTTTCAATCTGGTTGTTTTAGCGCTGGGTGTCATATTTACCGTATGCTTTCTGTCAGCCTCCGCGAGAAAGGTTGCGTTCCTAGGATCACCCATAGGCTGGAACCCATGAAAGTCGTCGCCGAGGTCATGTTTGCCTTCCTTGCTCTTCCTGATTGCGTTATAAGATTTTCTCGCCGTCGAAGCCATATCTGATACTGATGCCCTGTCGTCTCGCTGGCTCTGAGTGCTGTATCTAATGATTAATGGGTCCAACAACGCGCGACGACATGTGGAAACTGGGCAGATATAACGCTTCGCCTTCCGTGACTTTGCCCTCTCAACGTGGTCATGGATGCATTCAGGGCAGTAGAAATGATCGCACTAAGGCAGCTCTTGGTTAGTCCATCACTAGGTTGATATGATTCAGAAGATGGAGGAGGACCTACCTTTGGTTCATTATGTTCCGGTTCATTTGTCAATTCCAAACACACGCTGCAAATTTCCGCTCTGCTTTGCATGTCCATTTTTGCCTTCTGCATGCTTTCAAGTTGCGGGGCTATGTCGAACTCTTCACCATAGTCGCCTTCTCCGAACTTGTCGTGGTCGTCCCCCGCATAAGGTTGACGTCTGAGAACACCCTGCTGAACTAACCCATCACACCAGCGGCCTATTTGTTGAACATATCTCTGATTGGTCTTGAGCTTGCAAAGCTCTTCCTTCAGCTTCTGTATGTCATCCGGCGTGAAGTGGTCACGCATGAGGGACTCGAGTAGGTATGGGTGGGCGGTAGCTTGCCGCAATCGAAGAGCTAGGGTGAGGTATGATTTAATAAACTTGTCGGCTGTTGTGTTTATGCCTGCGCGTTGCATGAATTTGTCGTTGAGCTCCTTCCTGAACTTGCCCTCTACCATCCTGTAAATGAGCGTCTCCTCTCTGGAGAAGTTAACCCATAGTTCCAGATCAGGGTGCGTAATAGGAATTTTGAACAAAGCTCTGCCCAGGAAAACAGTTGTGATATCCCTCTTCAAAACGATTTCAGAAAGAAGAGCGGAGAGATCAGCAGGAAGACCTCGAGCTTGTTGGGGCTTTTTCAGCTCGAATTTCTTTCTAAATTGCCTGAAAGAACCGGTGTCCGGAACTTTCAAATCAAAAAGCGTAGAAAAGGGTAAAGCTCGGAGAGACCGTTTTGAAGAGGTGTTGCGCTGAGTAACCACTTGTATTCACCTTGGAGCGCAAGACATGCCTTAGCTGTCTGGGTGTTCTGGTTCTTGATAGCGTGGCACTCGTCCAGAATTACTCGGAACCACTTGACTTTGAAGAGCTCTCCTTCCTGTTCTCTCATGCGCTCAGATACTTCTGGCAGGCTTAAACCTTATTGAAGTAGAGATTCCTGAGACCGTTCATTCGGAAATCCTTTGACCACCTCTTGATAGCTGCTGACAACTATGTCCATCCTGTTCATGCTGCCCTGTCGCATGCGATGCTGGCGAGTAGAATGGTACTGATCGGATGTCATGCGAGATGTATGTTTTGCGATCTCCTCCATCCATTGCGAAACTGCAGAGGCCGGGACGACGATTAGGGTACCACCATGACTAGGATCTTCATCTCTGTCCCACGGAGCAATGCATGCCAATGTCATTACTGTCTTTCCCAAGCCAGTATCATCGCACTGAAAACCGCCGGGAACATCTCCAGAACGTTCTCTGTTCACCATCCATCCAGCGCCAGCAAATTGGTAGTGATGAAGCCGAGACTCAAGACCAGCGATCTTCCATGTACCACCATCTTGCTTGTAATTCTTCTTGCCAAATGCAACACGCGCTTCCTTTAGCTGTTTTAGATCACCTGCAATTCTCTTCTTCTCTTGAGGGGTAAGCATGCCGTCGGCTTCAATGGCATCTCTGATATGCCTCTCCATCCCTTCAACAGTCTTTGCTTCCTCAGGGAGTTGGTCGAATGTTGCGAGGATCCTCATATGATTTCTGGCTATCACTGGGTCCTCTCCGCCCAACATACTAGTGATCATCTGCATGGCCTTCTCCTTCTGCTTTTTCTTCTTGTGTGCCGTCATCTTTGGCTCAGGCTTGGGTTTTTTGGCTCTGGCCTTCCCAGGCTCCGCATACGCCCCTTTTCGTTTCTTGGTAGTATCCGATGTTGGAACCCTGCTATTATGGGGCGTATCTCTGTCCCTGTCTCCATCCACACTCGGCGGTTCGACAGATGCCCCAAGTCTCCGTCGAATACTCTCAATCTTTCGGTCAACTTCTTCAAGCCTCATCTCACCCGTTGGTGTTAATTTGCCCTTGGCGCTGCGGCGCTCCAGCAAATTCTGCTCTGCCACCAGTATCTGCAGCTCATGCTCCATCTCCTCAATGTCGTCATCATCATCCCCCTCGTATTCATCATCGATATGCTGGACCTCTCTGCCAGGTTTTGGGCGTTTCTTCGGTGAGCGTTTCAAGCCATCTTTACCACCCGCAATGGGTCTGCGGCCGTGGCGGTGCCGCCGTTCGCTTGCGATAGATCCATCGGAGAGTTCTGCGTATTCGTCCATCATAAACTCATCTGTCTCTTCGCCTCTGTCGGAATGTTGGGAGACAAACAAATTGTCGCCACTGACTGCACCATTGTCGTTGTCATGGTCGTCAATTCCATTGTCATATTCTTCGACTTTGACAGTAACCTTCTTTCCGCCAAGACCGATAACATCAGGTGCAACTCGGACTTGTGTGCTGAAGGGCTTAGAGTTGGCCTTCATTCTGACGTGTTCCGGGACATCGGCTTCATCGATGATCATACAATCATCGTCATCGTCATCACCAACACCAACGGTTGAGTTCACAACGTCGTTCTTCCGGGATTTCTGTTGGTGAACTGGCATAATCTGATTGACGTCCAGGCTAGCGACATCCTCCTGCTTGACAGTTGTGTCCTTGGCTGTGTTCTGGGTGCCGAAAGAAACTCGGTTCCGGACACTTTGGATAGAATCCTCAGGGTCTTCCGCCTTGATCTCATCGCCGCGAGACAGCAACCACTGCCGGCGTATCTCTCCAGTGGATCCGGTATGAGCGCTCATGTTGGGCCTTGCTGGAGCTGAGGATACCCTTGTACCCCCGTCTTCGGGATGTGAATCTGAGAGTTGCCCCATGATCATGTAGAGCCTACCCTTTTCTGAAAAGATTAGGGATGTTGATGATGTAGCTGGCTTTGAAGCGGAGTGCTGAATAGCTATAACAGAATGTTAGCGAGATCAACGAGTGGCAGCTGAGGTGATTCTCATTTTTTTTTTTTGCAGGATCCAAATTGGACTTACCGAGAGATGTCTCTGAAATGTAGATAGTGGTAAGAGAGGCTAAGCTGAGCGTACTGTGACCTCCCCACCCCTTGGACACAGGTACTGAGTAGGGCGTCCGCAATGATAAGTGATGGAGTAGATGCTAGTGCTAGATGCCTTGGAGTGGGTGGGAACAGACGGGTAGAACGAAGACCATAAACGGGAATGAAGGTTGAGGTGCCGGAAGAAGAAGTGAGATGTAGAGAATTGGGGAGGAAGGGAGGTTTATATAGACTGGCAGGAGAGCGAGGTCGGAGGAGTTGGTAAGCGACGTATCTTGCTGCGGAGGAAGTCTCGCAGATGTTTGCCTACAAGGACTATACCCGGCCTTTGCAAAGCGCCATTTTCATCTGGAATATCCGATTGATGATTTCCTGGGAGGAGGTCTCGACGATCTCAACCGCGGATACGGGGAAACAGGATGAAAGGCGTATCGGTCTCGTCTGGCAGACGTGGAGTTGCTTCTCGAGGCAGCCCCATCGAGTTAGGGAGGTGTTGCAAATCTTTATGGTAGACGGCCGCTCAGGAGGGGTTTTTTTTTGACAGGAGAGTTGGTAGTTGCTTGGAATACTGAATTTTGTGGACTGAACTCAAGGTGATGATAATATCCCTGACGAAAAAGAAAGTGAACGTGAGCGGTGGGAAAACGCCGCGGCCTGAATGATTGGCTTTGTTGGAGAAAGGAAAAAGGGCTTTCCAGGCCATGTCTAACTACCGTACCTACCTCTAGCTACTAAGCTCTACTAAGTTGACAAGATAGTAGTGTGTTCGGGTGCTCTTTCCGACCATAACATCCTTCAGTTTCCACAGCACACATTGCACCTTCCCTGTGTCAATTCTCGGTGACGTTCAAGGCGCCGTGATGTCTTTCTGCCGACAAAGAAGGAAATGGCGATCCGGGTAGATAAAATCTTCTCCGGCAATCACTAAAAGTACATCCTGGCACTCCATTTTCCTGCCTCTGGACGAAGAGATGAAAAAGAAATGGACCCGGAACTTCAGATGAGATATCGCAACCGAAAGCCGCCAAACGCTTGTGTAGATTTGCAACTCATATGGGAGCAATGACTGGGGGCGTGAGTCCAATCTGAGAATCCCCTGAAGATAAACACACTCACTCCCAGAACGCCTTACACAACTCAGAACAATATGACCGCAATCTCACCATCACCATCACCATCAGTCCAACTCTCCAGTAATATACCCCATCTGCCTTCTGCCCCCTCCTGGCGGTCCCGCCCCATTCAAGCTCCTCGCCAACCTCTCCTGCGTCTCCACCAACTTCTTATGCTCTCCCAACCTCTTCACCATCCGCGCATCGCTCAACGCCTCGATCCTCTCCATCTCCCTGCGTTCGTGCACCCTAACATCACTCAGCTGCTTCGCCGCTTGCAGCCTCTGCTGCTCCCACTGCGCCGTCTGTTCCCGCTTCCTCTCTTCCATCTCCAGCTCCGCCTCGCTCACCAGCCTAGCCCTCGATAATCCCGCTTCGAGAAGCTGGCGCTCATGCTTCATGCTCACTTCGCGTTCAGCTTTACGACGGTGCAGTTCCGCCGCGAAGGCTTCTTCTTCGACCGTCTGCCGGCTGCGCACGGCTTCCATCTCCTCGTCCCGCTGCCGGCGGATGCGACTATCTTCTAGCTCGGCGCGCGCGAGGAAGATTTTGTTTTGCATGGTCGCGATCTCCTTTGTGCGCGCAATGGCAATGTGGTGTTCCTCTGTCTCCTTTTCGATACGCTCGGCGCGGGCGCGACGTTCACGTTCGGCGCGAAGGAGCTCGCGAGGCAGGTTGACGGCGCCGTCGGGCTGTGGCCCGTCGTTGGCGTAGTAGACGTCCCGGCAGCGGTAGGATCTAAGGAGGTTGAGGAGGGCGGAACGGTCGGTGCTGTTGGGCGGGAGGACGCGGAGGAGGTATTGGGTGGGAGAGTAGGTGTACACGCCGTCGGTCCATTGGTGGTCGGGGGCGTTGATGGTTTTCCAGACACCGGCTTTGAGGAGAGCGCGGGTGATGGGGAGTGGGTCGGTGGAGTGCAGGGCGAGGAGGAGCACGGATTTTCCGTCGGCTTGGATGGAGAGGTCACTGCCTCGCTTGATCAGTTCGGCCATGACTTTTTCCATATCCTTTTCTTGAGTTGATGATAGGGGGCCGGTTTCGGCTGCGTTGAGGCATAGTTCTCCCAGGGCGGAACGGCCGCCATGAACGATACTAGGGAAGTCTGGATCGTGGCCGAACTCGATCAGCACTTTGACTGCTTCGAGATTGAGCTTCCTAGCGGCGTTATGCAGAGAACCATCGTTGAGAGATGGCTCGGCAGCCAAGAGACTCGCCATCATGGCTGTGCCTAGTTCGCCTCCAATCGCAGTAGCTAATGCCATCGGGGTGTTATTCTCAGCATCAGCAACATCCACATCTGCACCAGCGAGAAGGAGTGCCTTGACCAGATCTGGCCGTCTGTGTTGGATGGCAAGCATGAGCGGAGTCTGTTTAGACACTCGTGTCTCAAAATTGACCTTTGCCCCTTTGTCAATGAGAAGCTGGATGATACTGCTGCTGATGCGCTTTTGAGGCTGACTCAATGCCCAGAAAAGCAGATTGACCTGTTCTTCTTCGCTGCTATCCATGACTCTCATGGTCGTGAGCTGGTCATGATAATAGCCTGCATTCAGAAGCGTTTCCAGCAGTTTCTCTGACCGAGGATATTTGTTGAGCGCACGAAGTAAAATAGGCGGGGAGGACGGTGTCATGACGTCTAGCCCTTCTCCCTCAAAGTCATAGCAGATGAATAGTTCGACCAGTGACAGAATCTCTTCCTCTTGGAGGTCTGCGTCAAATATGTGGGGAAACGCCATGGAAACCGAGTGAGCATCTGGATTCTGCTGCAGAATCAGCTGTATAAGCTCCGAATCCGCCTTCTTGGCTGCTTTCTGCAGCACGAGCCCATCCTGACAAGTGACGCTCGCCCCATGTTGTAGCAAAAGTGTTGAAAACCGTCGAGCCAGTGCTTCATGCTCAGTCCCGTATGCGTCAACAGCAACATTCAAAGCCGGGAACAAAGGCTCACCACCCTCTGCGCCCTTCTCCAGCAACATCTCTGCAATCAGGAGACCTTGTTCAGTCATCCAATCCTCAGCTGCCTCTGGAGTAAAGGAATGTTCGAAAGTCCACGAGACATCCTTTCCGGGAACATCAAACGTCAGCAAAGCCTCCAGCACATCAACCCGGTACGACCGAGTCGCATCCATCAACGTCTCGCACCCATTCACCAAAGGTGAAGCACCATGTGAGAGCAGGAGCCGAATCAAGCGAACATCGCTCTCCTCCTTTACAGCCCTATGCAGCGCGGTATGCACATCCTCCGATGGCTCCAGTCCTGCAGCAAACAGCCACTCAATCACTTGATACCTTGCGTCCTGGCTCAATTTCCGGCTGGCTTTCAATGCTTTAAGCAAGGTCTGTTGCGATGGTCCCTTTTGCCCATCACTTGCTGCTTTTTCCACACCCAACATCAACTTTAGACTTTTCAGCGCTGTCCTCTTGGTCGCCTTCCAAATAGCTTCGCCAGAGTTGTAATCCGGATCCGCCCCATAAGAAAGCAGCAAGCGCACCAGAGCCTCGCCGTCATCGCCAAGAATCCCCGCGGCAATAAGCTGTTTGTCCACGACCTCGCCGTTGACTCCTCTTTCCAGCAGGAGTCGGAAGATCTCCGTACGATCCTTGACATCCGTGACACTAACACTCGCTGCTTCAAACCCCTTTACTAAAATCAGTTTCTTGACCTGAGCCGTGGGGTGCAACAGTGCGCTCAAGACGGAGATGGCAGCGCTCTTGCAAGCTTCTACTATCGCTTGACCTTCCTGGTGCTCGAGGCTGGCTCCGTGGCCCATCAAGAGATTGACAAGTATGAGGTTTCCATCGGACGCCGCGGTGACGAGTGCGTCGGAGATTTCAGAACCGGACACCCCCCTCTTGAGCAGTGATGCGCAAATTTCAGGATTCTTGAGCTTGACGGCTTGTGCAAAGGTGGTATTAAGCACCGCTGCGGGGTATTTTCGTGAAGACTTTGCCAAAATCAATTCCACTGCTTGAGCATCCTGCTTCTCCACCGCGAGACCGAGGGCTTTGCCATCTGTTGAGTCGGCGTAGGCTGATAGAAGTTCGATCAGTTGGTAGTCAGACAGATGAGCATGTAGAGCGTAGCTCAGCGCCCTATTAACTTCTATACTCGGAGTGCCGGCTTCGACAAGCTTCCGGGTGAAATCTTGACGGTTACTGGAATCCGGTATGTTCACCGAATGCCGAAGTGCCGCAGCTAGGGTGTCTGGTGCTGGCTTAACACTCAGCATTAGGTCCGTCAACTGTGTGCTACATGCCTTTACGGCGTAACAGAATGCGGCGGCGTTGTGGGAATTGATGTCTGCACCGGCTGAGAGAAGAGTTCCAACGACATCATAGTTGCGACTTTCCAATGACATCTGAAGAATAGTCTGAACCTCGTGGTATAAAAGAACATCTAGGTGATCCTTCTGTGGGATATGGCATAGGAGAAGAAGAGACATTTTGGCAGCTTTTGCAGCTGTCGTTGGCACTTTTGAAAGATCGTTGAGGCCGCGATTCACTGTTTCAGGTGTCGGCTTTCCGTACTGGACAACAAGCTCGAGGATGGCGGGATCGGGATCGCAAACAGCTTTGAAGGGTTAGAAACGCATTATCTATAAGAACAGAAACGTATAGGTCAAGCATACCGAGAGTGACAGGCTCGCCGTCTTTGAAGTTGGCATCCACATTACCATGCTTCAGCAGAAGAGAAAATAGC